GAGCCCGTGCAGCTTCCGTGCAAAGGTACGTTGCGCGGAGAAGGCGCGGTGACCGTACAGCAACCTTGCGATAGCTGCAATTGCCGTGCGAATGCCCCATGAGTCTACAATCCCCGTACGATTTTCTTTGCCCCCGTCGGTTCACCGAAAAATCGTACGTTTGCTGCACAATCAGTGCGAGGCCTCCGGGCGATGCCCGTGCGGGGATTGTGCAATATGCCACCTACGACATGTATACGGGCTACGGGCTTACGATTTTTTTTCAAATTTGTTTAACTTCTCGCGAAACAAAATCGTAAAGGCTGCGGAGCCCGTGAATCCGTACGAAAATCTCACGGCCGCCTCCTGCCACCGCACAGGGCCGCACGGAAAAGGGGATACGAGCAGGATACAGGCTCCGTAGACTAATCGCAGGCCCGGCATTAAGAGACTCCATCCAACTCCAGATACCAACTTGAAAAGCGTTTCGAAGTTCAAAGCGCTACATTGAAGCCTTTCAAGTTGTATGTTTGGCATCATTTGTTATCAGTATGAAATGTATTTATTCGTTTATTAGTATTTAGCTAATGTATTTAAATGCTATATTAATTCCGATCGGAGTTTATTATTTAACAAGAAATTGAATATTATATTAATAATTATGCTATAATAATGTATAAACAAATTATGGTATATCAAGTGTGGATCTATGTGGATCCAAGATCATATTTTTACTCGGTTTATTAGCTTCCGAAACTGTAATGGCTATTTTCCACAAATTAAATTGTCTAAAATTTAATAACTATTTTTCACTTGCAGGATTAATTTATAAACAGATTACGAGTCAATAAAATATAACATGGTATTACAAAATATGCCGTATTTTGAAAAAAAAGTCGTTTACATTAATTACAAGAATTCCAAAGGATTTGTATACATGTGTATATTTTTTGGTTTTCTGTGTTTTGTTTTGTTACTTTTTATATTGATGATTGTTGTTGCATGTCGGGTAGTGTGGTCTTCTTGACCGATTCGCTTGACGCTTTCTAGACCGCAGTGTGAAGATAAACCGGGAAGAAAGCGGCGCGGCGTATTACACAAAAGTAATTGTGTGTTCGCAAGAAAGTGAGAAATGAAAAAATGGTCAAAGAATAAAAACGAAGAATAAAACATTTAATTTGTTTTTGTTTAAGCCTAGCTAAAAATATAGATTAAAAAAAATAACATAATCTTTTTGTATAAGAAAAGCGGAAGGAAAACCAAAATACTATAAGAGTGGCGGATCCAGGTGGGGCCGAATCAGCAACCCCCTCCCCCTCCCCCTGCTAGAACTGCATGAGTGACCCCGTTCCATTGATCTTTTTGTGATTATATTTCTTTATGATTTATTTTTACATAGGAAAAGGGCTCGGCTTTAACTTTGAAAGAAGCGCTCCTTTTGACATAGGAAAAGTGCCCTTTAACTTCGACAAGTGCCGTTTTAAATTGTAATAGTGCCCCGGCCCCCTTTAGTGTCCATTTTCCATTGTCATATGTGCCCCTCTATATTTCTAGTAATTGCCCCTTTTCGGTTACGAGAAATGCCCCCTTCACCTCTGATAATTGCCCTATTAAAATCTGAGAGGTGCCCTTTTACTTTGACAAGTGCCCCTTTTCCTTTCAGTGAGAAGTGTCCCGTGAGTCCTTTCCTGAATAAGTGCCCCCATTTAAAAAAAGGCCCCTTCCCCTTCTCATAAATGCCACTTTTCACCTCTGGTAAATAATCCTTTTCAGGTAAGATAATTTACTCCGTTTGACTTCAGGGGAGTAATTGCCCCCAAGCGCCAAGCCCCCCATCAATCCACCGGTGCGAGGGACGAGGGAGCATAGAGAACGAGAGGGGCGAAGGTGACGGCAGCGGGGGGAAATATATTAGCTAGATTATAGGGATGTATCTATATAATTATCAAATTTATGAAAGGGGTCAAATTGCCTCTTTACAAATCTGAGAAGATACTATTTTTACTTTAATTTACAGGTACCCCTTCCCTTCTGATAAGTGCTCTTTTCATCTCTGATGAGTGTGACTTTTCACCTCTAATAACTGCCCCTTTTATTTTGACACGCGCCCCTTCCCTTTTTCATAATTACCCCCCTTTTCACCTCGGATAATTTCCCTTTTAACAACGATACGTGCCCCTTTCCCTTTTTAATAGGGGCCTATACCTTTAAAATGTCCCCTTTCACCTCTTATAAATGCCCTCTTATAAAAAATCTGACGGGTGCCCCTCAAGTTTCCGTCGACAAAATGCCCATTTCCCAATCTCATTAGTACCCTTTTTCATCCCCGCATGGTGAGTGCCTCTTTTTGTGTATATTTTCACCTGTGATAATAACCCTTTGTACGTCGACACAACATTCTCCTTTTCTTTTCTAATACTTATCTTATCCCTTTCATAAGTGTCCCCTTTTCATGTCATCATTAAACGTGCCCCTAATTTTAAGTGACTATAAAGAGTAATTACCCCAAAGCTCGCAGGCATTTATAGATTATAATTATGGTACTTATTAAAGGTCTTTTCAGTCTTCTTTTATGAGAATGTGCTTATTAGGATTTTTTTTTTTTACTGCGACCTCACAAATCTTATAATTTTTCCTTGCTCGCTTCACTTGCCAGTAAATGAATTTTTCAGACCGTGACACCCATATCTGCATAATACAGGGGCGGATTTAGCTTTTTGCTCAGGGGGGGGGGTTGACCAATAATGACGATGCGGAGCATCGTCCACGAGCCGCGAAGCGGCGAGCCGATTTTTTTGGGGTGTTTATTTGAACCCCGTAAGTGATGTTTTCCTGGCATCTATTAACACAATGGAGACCATAAAAAGCAGTGCATGATAACGTCTTTTTAAATCAAGTAACAGTTAAATACACAGTTATATCCAGAGGTATCATGTGTTTGGTTAAGTTACCAGATGAGTTGAATATCTTCTCACAATATTTGCACTTGAAAGGGTTTCTCTCCAGCGTGCGTTCTTTTTTCTTTTTTTCTTTTTTTTCTTTTTTTTCTTTTTTTTTTCCTTTTTTTTTTTTTTTTTTTTTTTTAATGTGGGGATTTTGGGGATGAGAATCGGCAACGCTGGCCTAGCTTGTCACTTCGGCGGTGGCCCGTGTCCTCAAAAAAGCTGATGGGGGGGGGGGGCAAGGGACTCTGTGACATTTGTTCGCCCAACCCCCCCCCCCCCTCCCCCCAAAAAGAAATAATAATAATAATGATAATAATAATAATAATAATAATAATAATAATAATAATAATAAATGAAATAAATACATAGAAATAGAATAAAATAAAATTACAAGTTTAAAAAAAAAGATAAGATTTAAAAAAAATGGTCCCCGGATTTTTTTTGGGGGGGTTGCAACCCCCCCCCCCCCCAACCCCCCCCCCCTCTAGATCCGCTTCTGATAATATGATACTCAAGCAATATCGAAACAAATATTGAAATCATACTTGATAATGTTATGACACTGTAGGGGTATATACCAACAAAGGTGCCCCTTTTTTCACAGAAAGTGCCTCCCCCTCCCCACTTTGGAAGTCGCTCCGCTGCCCCTGCGTACTCATTGAATGTACGAGATTATATGGTTTGTTTTCGATTTCGGTTCGACTATAGTACTGCGCTCCCTTTAAAAAAAATTAAAGCATTTAATTTAACACTTATTCAATTTCCATTTGCCCCAATAAATAAATATAAAAAATGATGTTAGAATAGGCTTCAAACTAGTGTTTGTGTGTAATTAGTGATGATTGGACCAATGTATTTCTGATAGATCTGAGCGTTTGCCTCCGGCCCCCCTCCCCCCTCCTAAAAAATAATAACTGGATTAAAGGTAATACAAAGTTTTGGGAAATTTTGAAATTGGGTGGATAGTGAATCTTTACGATTTTGATATATTTGGATGCCCCTGTGGATGTATTATAAGCACTAGAAAATTTAGCCAATAAAAAACTTATGTTTTCGAGAAAAATTGAATTAAAAAATTTACCGGTGCTCCCGGTAAATTTTGATGAATTTCAAATAGCGCCTACGGCCGTGCTAAGGTAGCTGCGACCATGAAAATCTCAGAAAATGTAGTTGTGATATATAATTTCCAAACGAGAATAGCTAATCGGTCGATTTTTGTCAAGAAACATTGTTTTATAGCTTAATTAATATATTGACATTGAGAGGGAGCTATACAACATGAAGAGTTTACTATTTACAATTTCATGATTTTAGATTCGATTTCAACCGCGACAACAGTACTATCTCTGAATATTGTAAGATCGCATATGCTTCCAATATGTTCATTTGAACCAAATTCTTGACCCAATACCAAAACGTTGTATTACCTTTAAGGGTTAGCCATACCAAGCCCATTATTAATCCATCACTCAACAGCTAATCAAATCAAAAGCGTCAAGGTTTCCTTGGATTACTGGAAGTTTACCATTTATGGCAATGGAGTCAATTTGGGGATTTAAGTAAATTAATTGATTGACACAATTCCACATGTCTAGTGTGTGTGGCAGCTTGGACCTATATAGTGGCAGGGATTAGAACAGGCTAACTGTGATGACGTTAAAGTCATTAACATCAAAAAGTGTTAACATCTTTAACCGAACAAGTTAATATTAGTGAAGCACAGTGGTCTTGTGGATAAGACATCGCTTCACAATGCAGATGTACTCGGTTCGATTCCCGGCTATGCCTTTCTAGTTTCTACCTCTATTAGTTTTAATCATTTTTTTCTTCCTATTGATTTGTCCTTCTCTTTTTTTTGTTTAGGGGACATCCCCTCCTACTCAACAAAGGAGTACAAGAAGTTTATCAGCATATTTGTTTAAAGTCATTAATATCAGAAAGTGTTAACATCTTGAACCGAACAAGTTAATATCAATGAAGCAACGTGGTCATGTGGATAAGACATCGCTTCACACCCCCTCCTCTTCAACAAAGGATTACAAGTAGTTTATCAGTGAGAGAGGATATTTAATGTCCTCCTTGAAAAAGACTAGTATATTTCGGGTAAGTTTCGTCATTCTGTTCATGTGTCAAAATTAACATTTGCTAAGATGAAGATATATTCTGATCCAGGAAATCAACATACTCTAAAAGCAGTAGTTGCTGCTGCTTTAGCTAATCTGAAGCTAGAGATTCAATTTACGAGTATTACAGGTGAGCTTATAAAGTAACTAAGACCTGTAGTTGTACAAATTAGATAACAGCTGCACTACCGCGCCGCTGCGGCACTGCTCCGCTGCAGCAGCCTCGCACTCTAGCTAGCGCGGGCGGACTGCATCTCCCCGATAACTATTTCGATCTCGTACTTTCAGATAGGCGATACACAGTTAAGGCGTGCCCGCGAGCTGAAACTCCGACTCTAGTCTCAAGACTAAGAGAAGTTGGAACTCAATATTGTGTGAAAGTTAAGGGAAATGATCACCCCCCCCCCCCGGTATCTAGATCTAGACCTAGATCTAGATCTAGATCTATATTTTATAACTCCACTGTGGGGTGATTTTTAATTTTGCTATCCCATTGGCATTGGGCGAATCGCCCAAGGCCCCATGTATTTTGAGCCTTGTACTGTAACTTTGTTAGAGATAGCGATCTGCATATCTTCCTTGTGTTCCTGATGATAATGAGCTAGCAATGCGATTTATATTACAAAAAAGCTGAACCTTCCGAGAGTTTTCGATGTTGGTTCTGCTTGAAATGCAAATAGATCTAGATCTAGATGTCTAGATGGAGTCGGGCTAACTCGGACCAGGGGAAAACTCGGCCCAGCTGTAAAAACGGTCATTTTTTGCATGTTTAGGGTTAGGTTTAGGGTTAGGGTTAGAGTTAGGCTAAAATGACAAAAAATGACCGTTTTTGCAGCTGGTCCGAGTTGTCCCCTGGTCCGAGTTAGCCCGGATCCAAATGGATCTACGCACGGTGAACACTAACAGTACGATACAATAATTTTAATCGTGATTAGATTAGTATACTAAGGCACACAGACAAAGTTCACTGATTTTATTGAACAACCTGCGAGCACGCCTTTTTATACTAATCACTTGAATAATGTAACAAGAACTTGAAGAAGATATAGTTTCATATTCATTGAAAGATAGGATAGAATATCAGACTTTTCAGACAATACTGTGCTTATACAGTAGGTTTGCGGGTGCACCATGTGAGAGAGAGAGAGAAAGAGAGGGTTGAGGAGTCCTGAAAAGGACTCTGACTCATTAATCTTTCTTAGGGGTGTGGTAGTCCTGAAAAGGACTGTTTGTTATCTTTCTTAGCATATAGTTCTAAGGAGAACTATAGCGCTTGGAGAGGATGAGTGGCTCGACATTTCGAACAGGTTGGCTATCCGTCGTCAGGAGTAGAGAATGGCTGGCGTGCATGAGCTTAAGTCACCGGAGTGCGGCATCAGGGGAAAATAGGTGACCGTGTTGGCTTGAGTCATCGGGGAGTGGGCGTGGATGGTCGGCTGGTACGTCTGACTGTCCGTCTGGGCTGGAGTCTCCGGGTTGCGGACTTAGGAGAGTTTCGATTTGATGAGTGGGGTGTGCTGTCGGTGAGACGCTGTGTGTGTCCCCGACATAGGCGGCGTTGTAGTCTGTTGTCGTCTGCTGTGTATTGTAGCTGTGAGGCTGGCGACTGCTTTGAGGGTTTGGCGGGTGGCGGTGGTTGATGTACAGGTGTCTGTCGGGGTGGTGAGGGCGGTGGTGGAGGCGATGGTGGAGGAGGAGTGACCGGGTACTTGTTGATGAGGGGTTTCCAGATGTCGTTGATGTATAGTCCTGAGTCTTGGGGCACGGTGTTGTGGCGGTGAATTTCGATGGCTTCTCGGATTCCGCAAGTATGCCAGTGCTTCATTATGGAGATGAGATGACTATTATCCCATTCGATGGTGTGTTCGTTTTGCTGGGCGTTTTTGAGGATAGCTGACTTATCCCAATCGCTGAGTCTGAAGCTGGTTCTGTGCTCCTTGAGTCTTGTTTCCAGATTTCTCCCCGTTTCACCAATGTAGACTTTTCCACATTCTCATGGTATTTTGTAGACTCCAGCTTTCTTGTGGTTTGGATGCTTGTCTTTGTGGGAGTGGAATATCGAATGGAGTTTGTTGGAGGAACTGTGTCGAACTTGGATGTCTGCTGCTTGAAGGATATGTTGAATCTTGTGAGAGGCTTGACCGATACAGGGAAGAACAATGGTTTGCTTCGGTGGTGTAGCTGCAGGTTGGTTCTCTTCAGGGGTGGTGTTGGCTGCGGGCTTCTTGGCGGGAGTCTTGGATTTGATCTTATGTCTTGGGTATTTGTTGATGATAGTCAGGGCTGTGGTGACATGCTGGATTTCCTGGTCTAGATGGTCTGCATCGCTGAGTTGATGGGCTCGGCAGATGAGGGCATTGGGGACTGATTGTAGTACGGATGGATGGTGGAAGGATCAGTCCCCAACGTCCTCAACCCTCTCTCTCTCTCTCTCTCACATGGTGCACCCACAAACCTACTGTATATCTACATCACCATGCAAGCCGACACTTACAAGCAGCATCTAATACTGTGCTTGCTATTCATATAAAATATTTGTTTGCTTGCAGATTCCAAGGTGCCATACTTGAAGAGGGGCAAACTTCCAGTTCTTGAGATATCACCAAATGAGTACATCTTTTCAGCAAACAACATCTGCAGGTATGGTGTCATCAACTTGATATGGTCATTTTAAGAAGTCACAGAACATCTTTCTTTAGTTAAAAATGAGATTATTATGAAGTAAAAGGTGTTACTCCTTTTTAGAAAACATGGTGAATGCAGTTGCAATGAGAATTTTGTCTACTTATATTTTACATATCAGGCAAAGTTGTCTTAACAGAAATTTACTCACTTAAATGGATATATTTGCTGTAAATAAAGACACCATTTAGAAAGCACACACTTACAAAGAAGTAGGTAGTGCATTAAATATGATATTCTTCATATTTGATATTTCCTCTTGATTTTTTTAATGATCACTTTATCTTGTTTTGGTGCATTTCAGGTATATCCTGTCCAACGGCTCTGAGCAAACTTGGGAGTTGAAAGTTGAGGAGTGGGTCGAGTGGGAGAGTACTCACTTACAGGCAAGTGTTTTCATTTCATGGATGAGCTACAGTCAGAGGGAACATGATATTAATATGTTTCCATTCTTAAGGTTCCTGTAAACTTGATGCAATAATCAATGATATATGTAGAGCGCTTACAGACAACGTTGATGTATCAAGCGCTATATTAATCCAGAATAGTTTTGTTTTAAGTATATAATGATAATAATAATAATGATACTACTACTACTACTACTACTACTACTACTACTACTACTACTATTACTACTACTACTAATACTACTACTACTAATACTACTACTACTAATAATATCATCATCATCATTATCTTCATTGAACTGGATTTTCGAAAGGAAATGTCTATTAAATCAATTCTAAATTGCATAGATGGGTTGTTATTAATTGCAAACATAAGCAAGCTAGCCAAAACATGCTTGTAATGTCATTCACTAATGATGCACAATTTATTTTAGTTGATGTATTTGCTCTTGGTCATGATTGTCAGTTTGGTTGCCTTAAATCTCTGTTTTCCAATTAATCAGCTATTACTGTATTACCAAAATCAATTGCCACATTATATGTATTTGTAATTTTGAATATATATTAAATTTATGTTTCTTTCGACTCTGTGGAATTTCTTCTTCTTATTTCTTTCTTTACCTAAACTCAGGTTTATCTTTTACAATAAATCACAGTGTTATATTTACATGATAGGATATGATTACTTTATTGCAAAATGCGAGGTATATATTTTTTTTCTTCCCTGAACTGCTTTGTGGTGTCTTCTCTGCAAGCCCCTACCTGGCCAAGATAAGGAAGCAATATTATACTATTGCCAATTTGAGGAATAGGCTGAGACACATTTCATGTTAGCATTTGTTTGTTTGTTTGTTTGTTTGTGTTTTTATGTCTACGTTTTCAAAATAATTCATAAGCGTTGGTGCTGTATTTAACAAAACACTGACAATTCTGTAATACATTAAATAGGAAAGAGAATTTACCTTGTATGAATGACATATTTTTAAATTGATACGTTCAATGACTTCCTTTTTTTCTCTTTTTCAGGCTTTGCTAGCCCCTTACTTAACTGCTGTCTTTGGAGGCGGAAAGAAGAATGCAGAGCCATTTAAGCTTCCATTCTGCAAATTAAATGATGTGCTGGCCAATAAACAATATTTAGTGGGGGTAAGTATTTTATATGTGATTATATTTTTTTTAAACAAACATGGAACCATTACAGAAAGTACCTTTGCCCAATTTATGCTAGAAAATTGTTTTCCCCATAATTTCTATTATTTGCATAATTGATTAAATTAAACAAAGCTTTCAAGCTCCTCTAACGTTTATGCAAAGAAATTTGACAGGGTCGCAGTTACATTCAATATCTTGTTTAAGACGGAAGCATTTTTGTAAAAAAAAACCTGCATGCCCCCATTGATGCTGAATGTTGGCAACGTTGAAATGGTTCTGGTTGGTAGTAATATTAGAGGTATCACTTTCATTGTCACTTCTTCACCCAAAATCAAAAACTTCATTGGTCAATCAAAGGAGGAAAATTGTAGATTTGTGGCTTTGTGCTATTTGTTCTTAAAGTTCACACTTACTTCAAATTGCGAATATATCATGCCTAAATCCAATAAATTCACACACTGCTTTGTTTTGAAATATTTCTATAAACAGCATTTCACTGTAAGAATGGTTCAAAGGCTGCACTCAAGTAGCATTAGATGCTAAAAGTGTATACTATGCCTCCCATGCATCCATCACACATTCTTTACAGTGTATGCCATGAATGTTGACAAACAAATAAAGAAACAAACAAGGAATTTTATGAAGTTCATGTTTCAATGATTTAAACGTATTCTTGCAAAAGGAATAATAACTATGTCGGATTATGAAACCATGAAGTCTACTCTCAATAAAGTTTGATTTTTTTTTCCTACATAGACAAGCCTGACCGCAGCTGACATTGTGGTATGGTGTGCCCTGTACCCAGCCATTACCGACAACCCAAGCCTTTGTGCTGACTACAAGCACCTTCAATGCTGGTTCCAGGGCCTTGCATCCCAAGAGAGCTTTCAGAAGGGTGTTGCTACCGTGACATCAGGGAAGGGTGCAAGTGCCTTCAAGGAAGCCATCTTGTCTCAGCATGTCAAGGTTCCGCTGTCTGATGCCGGTCGTGAGAGAGGACAACAGGCAGCTATTAGTCAGGCTTCAGATGGACAGGTATACATTAGGACTTCAAGTTGTTTAAAGTGACTCAGTAACAATTTTGAAAGTTGATGGAAAATGCATAATAATGTAATGTTACTTATTACATTCCTTTTACTGTACTAATCCTCTGACATGCAAAAAATCCTGAACAAATTCTCTAAACGCGTTAAGATATTTATGGTTTTCTTTGAAGGTGTCACTGTGCCACACTCTCTAAAAGTAAATTCTCCCAACTTTTTTTAATTTTCCTAACCATTTTTCCATGAAAATAAGACATAAGACAGGCTTTTTAAAAAGCTTTCACCACTTAAATGTCTGGAATGGTTTACAGAGCCAATTCATTGTATAGTTGGGAGAATTAAGAAATCGATCAGATCAGTTTTTCCCAATTTGTATCAATAATTTCAAACTTTCAGATTATCTTTAATTGTACATTTAGCATCAGAATCACTACCTTAGCACCATTTTCTTTCATCTGAACAATGTTACAAAGTCCTTTTAAGTACAGATATGCACAGTAAATAAATACCTCAATGTTCTGAAGAGAAATCAGACAACCAGAAAAAACTTACCATCATTAAAAACATATGAATTGCACTGCCTTTGAGATTTACAACCATTATTCACATCTTGAGGATAAAATGACAAAGAAAATTTGGAAAAATAATAATATATATTGTGCCAGTTCAAACCAATGTAAAGTGTGTCCTTTATTTCAGGATGAGAGCAAAAAGGACATTCCACCTGAAGAGATAGCTGCGGCTAAGGCAGCTTTCACCAGAGGAAAAAAGTCATTACCTAAATTGACCAAGAGAGTTCATCCAGTGTTAGTATACCCTTCACAAATATTCTGTTTAGAATACTTCAAATGAAGTCTACTTATGAAATATTTGTATGCATATCATAAATATATTCATTTGGAGTTATGCCGGGAAAAAACGGTCCTTACACATTATATCATATTTTTTTTCAGATGGATCATGTTATCGTGTAAATACAGTTTTAAAAAGTCTTGCCATTTTGTTCCAAGATATTGTGAGAAAATTATGAACTACAGTTCTTCTCAATCACTCTCTCTCTCCCTCTCTCTCTCCCTCTCTCTCTCTCTCTCTTTTTTTCAAAATTTGTTTAAAAAAAGACAAAATAGATTATAATTGCCATCATATAGGAGTTGTAAGTTTTATTTGTACATGTGTTAAGTTAAAAAGGGATGTTTATATTTGTATGTATACCTTGTATCGATTCGCATGGCAAGTTCTTGTTACCATCATTTTTAGCTGACCACCCTCTCTCTGAAACTAAATTTGTAATGTATTTTGAATGTATTTCGTTTTTTATCATTCCTGAATCAGACTACCTCAATCTTCCGGGAAGAACATCCTCATCACCAGCGCTCTTCCGTATGTGAACAATGTACCTCACCTAGGAACCATCATAGGGTGCGTTCTCAGTGGGGATGTCTTCTCAAGGTGAGCCATGATTTCTTCCTTCTGCTTGAGGCACCTTTTGTCTTCTTGAAATATTTCATTTGTCCGAAGTGGAGATGTTGATGTTGTTAACGTCCCATTTCACTGCTATTAAAGAAATCAAGTACAATCAAACCTGTCTGTAGCGACCACCCAAGGGAAACACAAAAAGTCGTCTTTGTAGACTGGTGGTCTTTGTAGACAGTTTCCTTTAGTACATGTTTCAATGAGAAACCATTTTCAAGGGAAACAAAACATGTGGTCTTTGTAGACAGGTGGTCACTAAAGCAGGTTTGACTGTATGTGCTTATTGATAAGTTACCAGTGGACCATTGACTATAAATCCAGTCCAGAGAATTCAGTAATTTAGGGATTATTGCCTTACCAAAGGTCACCAATATCTCCACTTGATTCCAAAACTAGAACCTCTTGGTTTTTAGACCACTGCCCAACCCCTGAGCCAGCCATCATGCCTTACTGACTATCTTGTATATGGTTTATTTTCTTCAAATATTATAAATTATCTGATCGTATAAAGTGATGATATGTCAAACATTTTTGTTATATCATCAAATGTAAATTGATATTTATGTTGAATTTTGTTCTTTGTGATAATTACCAAACTGTGATTTCTGTTGTTCATTTGCCGATAGATTCTGTCGTCTCAGGAACTACAACACCCTGTACATCTGTGGTACAGATGAGTATGGGACTGCTACTGAAACCAAGGCATTAGAAGAAGGCTTGACTCCTCAGCAGATCTGTGACAAATACCATGCACTTCATCGAGACATCTACAAATGGTTTAATATTGACTTTGACCACTTTGGTAGAACCACCACCCAAAAGCAGACTGAGTGAGTTTCACTTTAAATTTCCTTTAAATCATCGGTAACCATGTATGAATAGTAGACAAAGCCAAGAAAATGTTTTTTTCTGAAGCATTTATAGATTTGTACAAATTTATCGAACTATCTGCTTTTTCACATTTAAAGGTTTAAAAATTACCATATACCTGTACAAATTGCACTGAACTGTGTTCCTCTTGAAATCATCTTGTTATTAGTAATAATATAAAACATCAGTCTGAAATTCATCACCACTGTTTCTGTCATTGTATCTTTTTTTGTGCTTATTCTTGATACGCAGGATTGCTCAGGACATCTTCCACCGTCTGCATGCGGCTGGTCATATTCTAGAGGATACGGTAGAACAGCTCCAGTGTCAGAAGTGCAACCGCTTTCTAGCTGATCGCTTTGTTGAAGGAATCTGTCCACTCTGTAGTTATGAGGATGCTAGAGGAGACCAGTGTGATAAATGCGGAAAGCTCATCAATGCAACGGACCTTAAAGTGAGTAGTAGCAATTTCTTGGTGGTACAGTCAAACCTGCTTTAGTGACCACCTGTCTACAAAGACCACCTGTCTACAAGGACCACCTCTTTTGTTTCCCTTGAAAATGGTTTCTCATTGGAACATGTACTAAAGGAACTTGTCTACAAAGACCACCTGTCTGCAGAGACCACTTTTCCCTTGGGGGGTTGCTATAGACAGGTTTGACTGTACTGTGTAATGTTTACTGTAAAACCAGAAACTTTGTGGAGTTAAAAATGACAACTGTTTTTAAGGCAAGAAAATATTGTGAATCATCGATGTGTAGTGTTTCATTGTTTATGATTTAACTATTTCCTGGCATGTAACTTTCTGAAACGCTTGTGAAATTTGAGAACATTTCATGCAAGTGTATGTTCTGGTTTTACAATATGCTCCTTTTATGGGATGGGGATTGATTTGTTACTGCATCATTGAACATTATGCATCATGCTATTCTTCCTTTTGTTTGTATGATATGCCAAATATAGAAGGATGTTGATATTGGAATATCTTCACTCTAGAAACGAAGAAATAAATATTAGATCATAGAAAATTAGCTCTTTTGAGAGCCGTAAAGCCATTCTTATACCATTATTTTGATTTTATAATGGACAATTGGAGTTAACACTTTGATTGCTCTCTTTGCATCTCTGCACAGTCACTTGTTTGCCATTCATGCAATGTACCACAAAACAATAGGCAACATTTGGCAGAACAATTGCTTCATGCAACACACTTTTATTTTGCAAAATTACCCATTTTCGATCTTGACTAGCTCTAGGACAACCTCTTTAACCCCGGGATATAGATTAATCTTGCACTGGAAACAGTTCTAACCTTGATACCTTCAGTATTTCTATCTCATGATAAATACAATGTGTCACAAGTAGATTATTTGTGTGGCATTTAAAGAGTTAAAGAACCTTTTCTGGAGATATATATATTTTTTGTTATATATTTTATTTTGACAGCAACCTAGATGTAAAGTCTGCAGTAACACCCCTGTCATCAAGACTTCCAGGCATCTGTTCTTAGACCTTCCCAAGCTAGCACCAGCACTTGAGGTGTTCTTAAAGAAGTCTACAACCGAAGGCAACTGGTCTGCCAATGCTAAGCTCATTACAAACTCATGGGTGAGGGATGGACTGAAGCCACGATGTATCACTCGGGATCTGAAGTGGGGCACACCTGTTCCACTGAAAGGATACACAGATAAGGTAATTCTTGACATAGAGGTATCCTGGTGAAGTTTCCAGACTGTGAACCGCAAGGTACAGGGTTCGAATCCGGGCTGCAGCACTAATGACCTTGGCAAGACATTAATCTACATTTGCCACATTCAACCAAGGTGTAGAAAGTGGGTACTTGTTAGGATTTATTCCTTGATTGTACTCAGTGCTTTTGTTGCAGGAGCTAAAGCTGGGGTAATAATAGCCTTTGGAATTACATAGAGACATATTGTCATAATGTGATATGCGCTATTCAAGAACAACATATTCTTCTTCTTCTTCTTTAAAAGAGAGAGTACTTCCAAAACAACATATGTTTACAATCCAGACAACAATTGTTTGATGTTTTTTCTTCTCTTGCTATTGAGTTCAAGTTCTCTTTAAATTTCTACTGCAACTTTTTCCACTGTTTTCATTAAATAATATTCTTTCTGCTAAACTGGTGTACTATGCAGAGATGCCAACCCTCCTGATTTCATCGGGAGGCTCCCGATAATTCACCCCAACTCCCGACCTTACGATCACCATCCTTATCCTCCCGATTTATTATAAAAAATTTAAAAAATGATTTTTTTTTTTTTTTTTTTTTTTTTTTTTTTTTTTTTTTTTTTTTTTTTTTTTTTTTTTTTTTTTTTTTTTTTGGCGCTTATCAGTATATATATCTGTGAATTGAATGAGAAATATCGTCTGTTAACTTTAGCATGTAGTAAATCCACTATATTAAAAGACAAATTAAGAGTAGCGAAAGATTGTTTCAGCATATGGATCGCCGTAACCAATGCGTGGATATTGACACAGAATCCAAATGGCGGAAAATCAGCTAAAGAAGACCAAGAAATGGTATCAGAAGTATAAGACCGAACACTGTATCATATATATGAAAGGAATTCATCATGCATTTTGTACAATTTGTATGTTATTTTAAAAAAAAGTGGGAATTATTGAACTAAATACACATGTAAAATGCTGCAAAATAAGGCTCAGATTGCACCAGAGAGTATCTAGAACCCCAGAGCTTCCAGGGCCCTAAGGCGGGCCCTGGACCCCGGCCGCATGGGTCGGGCGCTACGCGCTCGAGATGTGCGCTACGCGCACATTATTTGGTGTCCGTTACAAATCCTCCCTATTTATGTTTTCCAAAAGTTGGCATCTCTGTACTATGTGTATGATTTACTTAGAATTTCTTTAAATGTAATGCCTCCTTGTTGTTAATTACTTGTACAATATTTTCTCTCATTCCAGGTGTTCTATGTATGGTATGATGCTCCTATTGGCTATCCGTCCATCACAGCAAATTACACAGACCAGTGGGAGAAATGGTGGAAAAACCCACAGCAGGTAAATTAGTGCTTTTTGTAAATATTGAAATGAGAGAGAAAACCTCAATTTTCTAACATTTTAGGTGAAATCTTGCCATCAAATTTTTGGACTTCCCAATACTTTAGAGAGGCTTTAAGCTTATTAAACAAACATGAACTAATATTGTACAACAATGAGGAAAGAAGCAGGAAGCAGGTTCAGGATGTCTGCAAACAGCTGCTATTTCACTCTACCTCTTTTTTGTCTGGCTTATCTCTCCACTTAATAGCATAAAGAAGGGCAATTAAAGCTTCTTAATCCTCATTCAAGTACTGGTACATATATAAGAGAACTTAAGTCCTGTTTCTCAACTTAAATTGAGGACAATAACCTCTTACCAACACATTGAACTCAGGACAAAATAGTTAATCTGTATTCATTGATGCTCACAATGGGAATTAAAAAGGGGTCATGAGTATATGGAATATATAAAAGGCTAAGGATGTTGTACATTGTGTGTTCTAAGTAATCATGGTCTACCGGTAATCGTTCCACCACTTGTAATGAGCAATGAACAACAAGAATGTAATGAGGTGTATTGATTTTGATACATAGGTGAAGTGCATTAAAATCATAGACCAACATATGACCTAATATTCTTTTATCTCTCAATTTGGATTACTCTTTGTTGGTTTTTGTGGTACATGTATATAAGCTGTGTAGGTTAACAACTAAAGCAGAAAATGATTTGAGATTGATTTTAATGTATGTCATTCTTTGTCAGGTCCAACTATACAACTTCATGGCGAAAGACAATGTGCCATTCCACAGTGTGATATTCCCAAGCTGTTTGATTGGGGCTAATGATAACTACACCATGGTCAATCATCTTATAGCCACAGGTAATTACTTTGCATTATGTAAATAAATCAATGAATTAATTAATGAATAATAAATATATGAATGAATGAATTAATAAATAAATGGATTGATAAATAAATAAATTATTAAATGAATGAATGAATGAATGAACGAAATAACAAACAAATGAACTAACGAACAAATTAACAAATAAATGAATGGATGGATGGATGAATAAATAAATGGTAAATCCAGTGATAAATGCTTTACTGGGATACATTTATTGGCATAGAATTATTTAATGGCAGAAAACATGCTACACACATAATTATTGTTGCATCTAAAAAAAAAGACATTATTTTATATGTGCTGTTTAGTTTTATCCAGTGAAAATGAAAGCATTTGAATAGTAGATATTATATCCTGAAATGTTTGAATAACAATTCGGGAAGCAGTTTTAAGCAACACTATGATAAGTAATGTATTCAAATAGAAAGCTACTCCTTATGACAGTCTAAGTAATTGAAATACATAACATCAATGTTAATCAGTCAATTAGTTTGTCCATTCAATCCTTGGTTATGGTCAAATTAAATCATTATGGACCTAACTATGTGCACGATCGCCCCTTCTTATTTTCTGAATCTATGGATTCATATCGAGGGTTCAGTGACACAAAGACGTAAATCCATATTTTGCCAAAATGAGTATTTGATATCAAAATGTTCAGTAAAATGTGGGCTTTTCAGGAAACACAAATACTTAACTCCACCCAACACCCCATTGAAGTCAATGGCTAGTCAAACATAGACTTAACTCCTTAAGGGCCAAGTGCTCAGTTACACATAAACCACTTTTTCTCAAAATGGCCGAAATAGAGTTACGTCTTTTTGTCACTGGCCCCTCAATATATGGTTGTGATTTTGAACTTCAAAATGCTACCGCCTATTACTCCATCACAGAATACCTGAACTATGAGGACACCAAGTTTTCCAAGAGTCGTGGCATCGGTGTGTTTGGTGACAACGCTCAATCAACCGGTATCCCAGCAGACATCTGGCGTTTCTATCTCCTCTACATCAGACCCGAGACCCAGGACAGTGCCTTCAGCTGGGCTGACTTTGTCTGGAAGAATAACAGTGAGCTTCTCAACAACCTGGGCAACTTCATCAACAGGTCTGTGTCGTTATGAACCTGATAAAGCTAACATGTAGCCAAACCATGTACCGTTGGACCAATATTTTGTTTTCAACCCAAATAAACAAGTCCACTTGAAGAATTCAGATTTTGTAGGGAAAAAAAATCAAATAAAACTGTAGTACATGTGATACTTGGGAATATAGGCATGAAAGGAAGTTACACAGTACATGAAACCTATTTTGTCTAAAATTATACTATAGGGTGGTTGCACCAGACTCTTTAACTATTTGTTTGTTGACTATTTCTTCCAAAATTATGGTTGGCAAAATTCATGCAAATCTGCCTGACCAGGAAGTGGAAGAGAAGGTGAAATACTGCATTTTGTATCCCATTGGGAGAGGGGAGATTCTTATGCAAAATTTTAGAATGGCATGATCTGCTTTAAACTTAAGCTGGTTTGTAAGGATTTGTAATGCAACAGGCTGACCTAATTTTGTCTGAAAATAACTCTTGTATGAGTAATGGGTCTTTTGTTCGATCTGTTACCCCAAACATGTTCATTTCTTCTTTAAAAAAAAAAGAGTTCTTGCTAGTCACATTGAATTAGCAATGTTGTCATGTGTATATAGCCATGTTCAGACGTGGTTTTACTAGTGGGCGTAAATTAATCCCTACAGCAGTAAATACCTCATGTATATTTCACTTACACTATAAGTTGTCCACACACTCTTACTCGGACCAACTTGCCACGATTAAGTTAACACTTAACTAGTCGATCTCAACCCGCCTTTTGCATCTAAACCGTGCAAAATTTAATTTTCATTTTCAATTGTAACAAACAACCCTTGTGAAAGGTCACAGATACTCCCGAGTGTAAGCGAGAGCATCCACACGTTCAACTTATGCTACTCTCTAGTCTTGTTAGTGAGTTACTCCTGGATAAATCTAGGAGAAAACAGGTCAGGGTAAAAGTAGGCGTAGCTAACACAACCATCGTTCAGACGGTCACTATTCGTACCTTTACACCTACCTCACCATATTTACACCGACTAGCTTTTAGCACGACCTTTACCCTGGAGTAGATTGCCTCCGTCTAAACAAGACTTGTGACTTTGAAGGTATATGTTGTATTCCTTTTGTTGTTGCTTCAGAGGCTTAACATTCCTGGAGAATAGTTTTGGCAGTGTAATACCCGAGATAAGATTGGAGAGTGAAGATGAGAGGCTGATTGCTGAGATCAACAGAGAACTCAAGAGCTACATTGCATTACAGGAGAAGGTCAAGTAAGTATAAGTGACAGTTCAGCTCAGTTCAGTTTATTAATACCATCATTTTGCTGCCTCGGCTGAATTGCATGACAATTTACAATTAAAAACATATAAAATTTCTTTCACAATTGTTTCAAATAATACCAGTTAAAATACAATATAATTAACGAAGACAATGAATCGTCATCAATACTTAGTTCAATTTCTAGTGACAATTCACAATATTAGCCAAAGAATAATTCAATGTATGTATAACAAAAAATATTTTATGTAACTTGGTTTTGCATCATTCAGTAGAAATTGGGTAAATTAAGTAATTGATATCATATTTTAGTGCTTAATTGAACAGAAAAATAAACTCATTGATCCTGTTATGCTATGCTTATTACCCATGTTCATGCTGGACAGCTATCTACAGGGGTTTCATGGGTACTCAAAAATGTTTGTGTGAGGTGGAATGGGGGGGGGGGACTTCAAGAGGAAGCAAAGCAACTGAGCTGAGGCTGGGTAAAGGAGGGGGCTAGAACCTTGCAGAGGATAAGCATCTTATATTTGGGACGAAAAATAGGCATTTAATCATAGTAGAATTTTTAAGAATACTCCAGAAATTCTTCTCCTTTTAAGTTAAAAAAAAGAGGGGGGGGGAGGGACATGTTTCCCCTTTTCCTCACATGATGATGCTCTAGGGCCTTCGCTGTCTTCCTGGAATAGCAGTGTTTTTTGTACTTCACATGTATAGAATAACTAGGAAATAAGTTGAGATCATAAGTACCGGTCTAATCTAGTAAGAATCTAGTCAGTACTTTGGGTCATGTAAGATTGACTCCGACTCCGCTGTGGACTATTTTACTTTTTAAATAGATAATGACATTCATACTCTATTAGATTTTGTTTTTGTTTCTTTTCCCTAATGTAGAATCCGTGATGCCTTGAAGCACATCCTCAACATATCTCGTCTTGGTAATCAACATATTCAAGCATGCAAGCCATGGGTGCTAGTCAAAGGCAATCCTCAAGAAAAGTGAGTCCAACAGCAAGCAAACCTTTGTTTAAAATGATCATAACTTGTAGTTCAACACTTAATGTGCTAGAAAATCATAATTGTTGCAATTTATTGTTTTTTTCCAATCTTTAACTCTGCTTCATGCATTAAGTTGTCATACATTAAGTCATGTCTCCATGTTTTCTGATCATGTACATATCTTTTTCAGTTTCACATAGATAAAAATGACATATAAAAAAGTTATATATATATATATATATATATATACCTCATTTATAGGAGTGTTATATATACATAGCAATGTAATTTACGGGATGCAATTTTTGTATTGACATAAGTAGCGAAACGTACATATTTGAGGAAATTACATAGCAAAGTACAAATTGGCATTTCTCATAATGGCTATTTATCTGAAAAATAATGAACTATGAGTAATTTCAGTTTTGTTAACTTAAATTGATCGTTTGCATATTTTTGTTTTGTTCTCATAGACTCCGGGCTGGTACTGTGATTGGTCTGGCAGCAAACATCTCCTGCCTCCTCTCGGTCATTCTGCAACCATTCATGCCAGAGACGAGTGCTACCATCCAAGCTCAGCTCCAGGCTCCTGCTGAATGTTACGTGCTGGTGGAAGAATTTGTTTGTTACCTGGACAAGGGTCACAAGATAGGCAAGGTAAGGAGAGCATCAGGGCGGGTTGTGGGGGGAGGGGTGGAGGAGGGGGAGGGGGGAAGGGAAGGTGATATTTTTTATTTGAAGTGCCTGGTGGAAGACTTTGTTTGCTACCTTGACAAGGGTCACAAGATAGGCAACGTTAGAGGAGCATCATGGCAGGTTGTGGGGGAGGGGAGGGGGAGGGGAAGGGGAAGTTGATATTTTTTTTTATTTGAAGTGCCTGGTGGAAGACTTTGTTTTCTACCTTGACAAGGGTCACAAGATAGGCAATGTTAGAGGAGCATCAGGGCAGGTTGGGGGAGGGGGAGGGAGGGGGAGAGGGGAGGTTGATATTATTTTTTTTTACGTGCTGGTGGAAGACTTTGTTTGCTACCTGGACAAGGTTCACAGGATAGGCAAGGTTGCGAGGGATTTTTTTTTTTGAGGGGGGGGGGGGGGGGCGGGGCGGGGGGGTTAATATTTTAGAATTTTGTGAATCTTTGGATTATAGGATCTTATTTGCCAAGAGCCTGAAGAGTGTCAAGTATCAGTAACAGGGTTTTACATTGAGTTATCACCCTCATGGCTCTCAGCAAACTTTATGACAAATTTGAAATAAGCTTGATTTGTAGGATGGGGGAAGGTTTATGAAATCATATGTGAAAGTGAATCAGCATTTTTGTTTAACCTTGCTTGTCTGCATCATCTGTGGCAACAACAGATTTTGGAATGGGCACCCAGTGCGAAATTACGCTGCTCCAATACATACTTTACAAGAGCTGGTAATTGTCATCCTATAAGTTGGTTTCACTTTAACACTTCATTGAGGGACGCGCCTGCTTTAAACTTTTAGAATTGGTCTTACAAAGCGAGCCACAGATATCTATTTAGGGTAACTCTTGCTAGAATCAGATTTTTGTTCTTGCCGTTTACACACTCCAAACAACAGCCTTGAGTATGTATCAATCCACTTCCAAATTCTCAAATTGAGAAAAAATTGTTGGTTTCATATATGCTGCACAATATGTTTACACGATGTCCGTAATGTGCATGCTATTTCATGTTAGCAACCACTCTATACCTTAGGAATGATACATGGTAATATACGCTCTCTTCCACATTCCTACCATTCAGCCAAGTCCACTCTTCTCCAAGATTGAACCAGCCCAAGCTGAAGAATTCAAGAAGAGATTCGCAGGCAAACAGCAAAAGGTAAGCAACAATATTGAATAGTAGATACCCTTGACTTTGTGTCTACTGATTTTTGTGAACTACATTTGATGAGTGTAAGTTGTTTTGCTTTTGAATGAATTGCATTTCTCATTTATTTGCCTGCTTTACAGAATATATTTATCGCTCTTAAGCATTCTGGATTTGAGTAGATCCAAGCAAAATCATTGCTTTTGAAATCTGCTTCAAGAACAAATCAGTCATTTTGTAAGAGTTTCTGTGATTTTTGTATTTTGTTGGCCCTCTTTGTAATTTGTTCACTATCACATAAAGAGTCTTATATACTACCTGCATAACAATTGCTCTGACCCCACTTTACCTCTTCCTAGACACACCAAAAGTCCTACCTCTCCTTCCAATAATCTTGCTGAAGTTACTTGTTTTCATGATATAATCACATGTATTTGTGTCTGTATTTAGTTTCATTGATGGTATAACTTTGCTTTCTCAACTATTGTCTGTGTCTTCCATAGGTTGAAAGTGCTGCAAAGCCTAGTGCAGCGGCCACCCCAGCCCCACCTACATCAAACCCACCTACAAGCAACCAAGCCACTCCAGCAAGCCCTCAGGAGATAGAGAGACTCACTGCACAAGTTACAGCTCAGGTAAGATCATTTAAAACTCAGAATTTTTGTTCTGTAAAAAAGAATGACTGTTTTTTTATAATAAGAAGAGATTAGTTTTCTTGTTTTCATAAAGTAGCGTTGCATCTACCGGCAATTTTGATTTGTAGAATGAATTATACTATTAAGCTGTCAGACTTGTAGAAGACTTCAAATCCTACACTGAATTAGCCACACAATGATTTTGTAAACAATGTAGTGTGCGGTAGGTAACGAGGCTTAGACACAAAAGAGGAGGAGAACAAGAAGAACAAGAAGAACAAGAAGAGCTAGAAGAAGATGAATGCAGGGAGGAGGAATAGAAAGATATAGGTGTTAACTCTTTTGAGAAAGGCACAAAGAAGGAGGAAAGACAGAAGTAGAAGAAAGGGGAGGAGGAGAATTAATGAAAATTCTTAATAAGTCCTGTTTTTTCTTCTTTTTTTTTCAGGGAGAGAAAGTTCGTAAGGTGAAGGGTGAGAAGGCTGACAAGGCAGTAGTGGATGCAGAGGTCAAGGCATTGCTGGACTTGAAACGTCAGCTAGCCATTGCATCTGGTCTGGATCCTGATGCTGCATCCAAGTCTAAGGGAAAGAGTAAAAAGAAAGGGGGCAAAAAGTAGAGGATATGGAAAGAAAGCTGATTCATAAGTGGATATTATTCATATGCAACTATGTCAGTTTTGATATCAGGAAATGATTACAATGTTCTGACATATCAGTAATAATTATTTTTAATTTCACACAGTCTACTTAATAGCCAATGGAAATGATGCTGGTTCTGTATACGTATACTAATATGTAGATAATTTGTGAGATGTCACTACATTTAGTAAAAATTTTTAAATAGTCAAGTTTCTGATTTCACTGTTCCCCGCCCGATTGATACATCATTTTGGAAGGTTTTAGTTAGTCTGTACTATTTTGTCAATTTGCCCCTTTTTTATTCAGTTGTGAAACTTTACCTTTGAGACATTTAGACTTTTTAGTTTCTGTTCAGTTCTTTGATGTTAGAATCCATATTATTTGAGAAAAAACAATGATAAATGATAATAATGATCATAAATAATTACGATAATTATTATGGTAATGCTTAATGCTACAATCATGTCTTCCAATAGTCATTACACCATTCAATATGTCCAAAACTACTTTCCATCGTTGGGAATCTGTTGTTTCGCATGGGCATGTTGGTATGTCTTCGTATTTTTGTGCTGTCCTAGATTTATAGAGCTGCTGCTCTTCATCTCTTAAATACCTGACACATATAGTTAATGAAAGCCAATGAAAGTTAACTCACAACAGTTCCATTTTATGTGTGTGATATCTTGCAAGTAAGGCTATTAATTACTCAGGTCAGCATCTGGGTTCTGCTTTCATAGGTGTATTAAATCATGAAGGTTATTTCAACCCTTTGACTTTATCTGAACTGATTAATCACATTTCGGTCAGTAGCTACTGTTGTCTTGTGTGTGGCAGTATATAGTCAATATATATACATATATATCAGTTTGTTGGAAAGTATGTTGCTTCTTTGCATACATGTATGTGCAATCAGTTGATAATCGTTCTGTTCTTTTGTTTATCTCCTGTGAGGTATTCGTGTATTCTGTTTTCGTATCTTTCGTCAAAATTCTATGGAATAGTTATTATCTCCCACAAATGATTCAGTTTCTTTCAACAGTTTCATGCCTCTTTGAAACTTGCTATAAAAATGACCAGGGTACTTTAAGTAGACATTTTAATGCTAACAAATGTAAATGCATATAATCTTGTTCACAGTACTACCCATTAACCTGTAAGTCCTCTCTAATTAAGCTCGTTTCTCTCTTAGTGTTGCATGGTCTGATAATGTAGCAAAATAATTTGTTAGCAACCAGTTTCAGTTGAACAATGTGGAATTAGATATTAAAGCAGTGACGCATTTTAGATTTAGGCATATTAAGATACATTAACTATAGTTGATTAGATGACATTTTCCTTGTATAGTAGTATTCCTTGCAGAAAGGGATGTACCCCCCCCCCCTCCCCCATTTCTGACACTCAACCTATATAACCTTCATGTAAGAGGCTATTTTGTGAGATATTAGGGATACTATGTGTGCTTTTCAGATGATTATATTTTATCATTCTTTTTTTCTGATTTGTTGGCCCTATCTTGGCTTAGGTTTAATTGTTGTAGTCTATTGATGAAACGAATGGTTCTGTGGAGTTTGTATGCAAAGACGAAGAGAAATGCTGAATGTAGTAGCAGGGTTATAATGTAATACTATGTATCACGTCATCAATATTAAATGAGCTCCCTATTTGCTGTGATAAATAATAAACCTTATATTTTTTTGTAGGTTTCTTTTTTGTTTGTTTTATCAATTGAAACAGAGGCCTCTATAGAGCTCTTTTTATTTAAAATCTATAGTTTGGAGAGCCAGAGTAATTGGAAACTTATACTTCACTAGTTCTAAGTGGATATTTATTAACACTTTCAATTTATTTTATCTTAATACTGTAGCATTTTACAGCTTTCTTAATTGTATCTTGTAAGTGCTCAAATATGGCTCTTCTTTATTCTTAACACTGTAGGAGAACAAAAATAGAGTAACAGAGTCGCTGTAATTCCTGCTGTAGAAAAGCTTGTCCTTCATAGTTTGTTAGTAAAAATTGCATTTATGATATTCTCAACATTCCTGATATTGGTCTTGAATCAAACTCAACGTAGAAGGGCTAAATCATTTGATAGTTAGTCTTACATACTTGTTATATTGTTTTTATTGGTAATTTGACACTAACGGCTAACCCACAGTTTCAAAAGGTGTTTATGTGTCAACAAAATATATGCTATTGCAACATAGGTGTGATGTATGATTTTGAATTGCAAATTATTTTATTAGGAGAGTGATATCTGAGCTCTATGAACATGTCAGAGGATTGATATTCCAATTAAATGTCATGCTATACCCTTTTAGTCCTGAAGTAAATATTTTAATTATTTTAATAACGCTTTGATTACATTAAAGTTAACATTTCTTATCACCTCTGAATAGTTTAGCCTTGGAAAAGACCATGAACCACGACACGTTAGATAAAATGATGGCAAATCGGTTATACTAACAATGATATATATGAAAAACAAAACATGTAGCTCCCCTGTAGTGTCATTCTAGACTTCTATTCTTTGATTCCTATACTTTTTAGATATTCATATTTCTTTCAAATAAATGTTTAAAATGATGTTTTACCCGGTAATCAGGGAAATAATTGATGACTGTTTGTTCACTTTGGTGACTCTAAATATTGAAGTGAATTTTAACTGTTACAAATTATTTATTTGATTATACTTTACTATTGAACATGTATTCACTGAATGTTGAGCTATCCATTTTGATCTCTATTTTTTCTGACAGCAATAAATAAATTTCAAGATAAATTTCTATCATGAAGTCTACAAACAAACATGTCAAATTGAGTTAATGTGGAGTGTTCATTTCACCTTCTACTACTTTCACTCACTGTGCTACCACTTTTAAGAGGAAGAGAGTTTGAAATATAGTGTTTGTGTACCCTTTGAGAAGAAGTAGAAGATGAAGACAAATAAGAAGAAGAATATGAAGATGAATCAGATATAGAAGACGATGAAGAAGAAAAGAAGACGAGAAGAAAAAATGAAGAAGAAGGAATAGAAGAAGAGGAAGACGAAGATGAAAGAAAAAAAGAAAATGAAGAAGAAGGTGGAAGAGAAGGAATAGCAAGAAGGAGAAAACTATCCACTCAATTTCTCTCATAAAGTAATACATGTACAATGCCATTCATTTTCCCGTTTCTACCTGCTCTCCAACCAGTCTTCCCAACTATGGCCCCAGTCATTCGTTTGGATTTATCTATCACAAAAGAATCCCTCCCCAATCACGTCTACTTTTCATTCACTGGTCATCTTGTTTCCTTGGAGATTGTGATTGAGGGGGCATTGTAGACGAGGAGTTAGATTCCGTGTCCGGGAATCATCTGCCTCAATACAGCTTAACCATTTTGTTTGACAATGCTTCTGTCAATGCACTTCTTCCCGAGGTCTAGAAGCTTACCTTACATAAAAGGCACATTCAATTTCTTCGAACATGTATGTCAAACAATAGCCGTTAGCATTGCATAGCCTTTGTATCTTGTTCGTTGTATGCTAAGGTTGTAGACACCGCATGAATTTGGTTTCCTTGACAATGCTATGGTCCGGGTGATGTATACAACCATCAAGTTCATTTAATGATCGGACTTAGGCGAGTACACCACACGTTCGGCCTACCTCTCGCTGCTAAAAACGGAGAAAGTAATCTAACCGTTTGGGGACCTCAAAGTCATAAATATGAGTGTGGATGTTGAATCTTTAGATGTGGATGCTACTCAGCTATCAAAGTTAAAGCTGTATGTATCAGGGGGTAACGATACTATGTCACAAAAGACTTACAGTACAGTGACCCCTCCGCCATCTCCACTCGATGTCCATGGCGATGTTGACTCCAGGCCTCCTCATTCCTATGTCAGGATTGTGATCATGTCCCTGCTGGACTGCCCAGGTCATGAAGCTACGATAAGGGAGATCTATGACATGATCACATACAAGTTTCCGTACTACCAAGAGAACCGTCTTCATTGGAAGAACTCTGTGCGCCACAACTTGACAGTCTTTAGTTGCTTCGAGCGAGTCATTACAGAGGAAGGTTCGACGTCCCGTGGTTCGAACCGCTGGAGACTGATTGGAAACTGGAGATCAATACTGGAAAAAGCAGAAGCCGTTTCCGTTCGAAAGAGTAGACCATGCACTCCGAGTATTGTTGAAGAATTCATTAAGAAGAAGAAAAAGCACCATCACAAGACATCACGCATTAATAAGTTGGATATTGTTTCAAGGAGAGAAAAGGACCTGGCAAAGAGAAAGAAACGTGAAAAGGCGAGGAAACTGAGGCTAGCAGCTGGTATTTGCAGAGTCAACAGGATGCCTTTAGCAGATTCAAACCATCATGACTTCACTACTCCCGTCAAACCGACCGAAGAACCGCTTCCATCCCGTATGTCAACTCCTCCTCCTAGACTCCCTGGTATCGAAAACATCTTTCTACCTTCACCTACCCCAAGCATCTCACCACTAAGAGAACCAATGAACATCTGGGAAGATGCGCCGGACGATTTTAATCTTCTATCCGTTCCTAATCTCTCCCTCATTGACGAAATCACTGACATAATCTCCGCTAACGATGAGGCAAAAGTTCCTCACCTTGAAGCACAGACGGATTCTTTAGACTTCATATCGCAGTATGAATCGGACATCGACGTCGCTATCGAGCGACAATCGACTTGGCATCAATTTACACCAGAACAGAGTCCAGCGAAAGCGTGGTCTGAGTTGTCGAAGGCAGGCCTCAACGGGTATACTTCATCAGCAACGAACAAAACCTCTGGGATCTTGTAGATTCTACCGTGAATCCTGAATTTTTGGACTTGTATACCCTTAACGGTGAGTGGTCCTCAACAATGACGACAGGTGACTGCCTATTGGTATCGTAAGAACATCTCATATAATAATGATGAGTATAGTTAGAATGTGGTTTTTATTTGTTGTAATATCTTGTCTGTATATATTATTAAGTGATCTATAATTATTTCCCATTAGTTTTTGAGACACAATGCTTAGTCATTCTAGTTTGTTAATTTATGTATGAACAATTTTTTATCCAAATTCTTGATCACCCGTTTCGATGATTATTGTAAGATATTCATAACGGTATGGTTATTAAATCTGTAGTTCGTCAACAAGATGTTTGAAATAATGTGTTATTATGCATTTTGTGGTCGATAACTTTTTTGTGATAATCAATCATTAATTTTTACTACGAGATTGCGTTATTATCACTCTTTACTGTATTGTTGAATCGGCAGTAAACTTATGTTGATGAGGTTCGTAATTTTTTTTTCGTGACATTCATATTAAGTAAATACCTTTTTTTAATATTCGAAATGAACGTCACCATCAGCTGATTAATCAATACCTGCTTTCCCATTTTGTTTAACTTATCAATTCGACCTTAATACCACATTTTGTTTAGGAACACAGACCGTGTAAATATAGAGTTAAGCATTGAGTTAAAACAAGTTACGTCATATATACTTATCATAGTATTATGTACTGGCATTATTCTTACGATTCAAAAGTTGTCATGAATGAATTCATAAGACAGGAAATATTTTCACATTTCCATCCCTTTGTTATCGAATAATTCAACTAAAGATAAATTACGCGCACAATGTGTTGTCGCGTTATATACTAATATAAGAGTAAAAGATGTTAATCTGACGGCAAATAATTTTTGTTAATTACATAAATGTGAATTGTTTGTTCTAAGTAGTCAATTAATCCATTGGGTCCGTAAAGTGCACGAATTACTCGTTGCCATTGTAGCAATACACGGTCAATTTCTGAATGTGATATGTTTCTTCATATGGATTGGTATCCACGGTTGCTAGTTTTCTTTCTATTAAATACATACGCAATGTCGTAAGAATTGAATATGTTAAGTGCCTCAAGATAGCCAATGTGTCTGTAAATACGAATTTTAATCAATACGTACATGAAAAGCAATAAATGACCCTGAAGAAAAAAATCATTTCAATAACGTGCTTTTAAGTTTTATTTGTTATCGGGTGTAATTAACATGTAAACAACTAATTGGGAAAATGGGCACACTATCTGTCAAGTTTAATATATAATACTGTCATACTGAAAGCTTGGATTAATGTATGTATTGACAAGGAAATATAGTATTCCTTGTTCGATAGTACATAATTATTCTCATAATGGCTGCTCCCTCCTCGCCCCTCCCCGTGCATCCATCTATAGACAACAACTGTGATGATGATGGTGGCTGCTGATTGTGGTTATGATGATGATGAAATGACGATGTCGTTGATGATTATGATGCTTATGATACAGTGGTGACGATGGTACGTATTGACGATGATGGTGATGATGATGTATGCATAGTGATAAAATTAATGACGATGGTGATGACGGTGATGTTTGTTGATAGGGACTTTTAGATTTGCGTGGACTGATACGTGTGACGTCCATTCAAGGCAGTGCATTAAAAGGACGTCGATCGTAGCAATCCACATTGTTTTCGTGCAAACCTAAAAGTCCCTATTGACATTACAATGATGACGGTGGTGATGCTGATGATAACAATGACGACATGATATTGATGCTGTTGTTAAATAATAATGTTGATAACAATAGATTCTTATACAACGTATAATACTTTAAAAAGGTATATATGCGCTTTAAATAGTACTGTAGATTTTCACATACACAAGAATAAGCAAATAGTTAACACATTATCATATTTATAGGTTCATAAGAATTAACATTTGTTGTAAGGGAACTCATTAAACTTTATAATTTTTTCATTTGTTTCGCAATGCGCTTCTTTCATCACAAAGTTAGCGTGGATGTGTCTGAAGGGGATATTTCGCTGACCAAACCATACATATACGGATATTGATATGACGAAAGGCCTTAAAATAAGAAAATAATAGTCATGAAGCATAGAATGACAAACGTTGATAACATTGTAGTAGTGGTGTAAAGGCAGCACCATGGAATGGACATTTTAAAAAAAAAATTTTGGTTTCCAAATTTGAAAATTTGACATTTTGTTCCGTTGGGGGGGGGGGGGTAAGGTCACCATTTTTAGGTCAGCCATTGGCATAATTTTTTTTTTTTTTTAACTCAAAAGGGGGGGGGGTTCACAAAAAACATACACATAAAAAAAAAAAAAAGGGGGGGGGGCCGGGGTTAACCCCAAATCCCCCCACCCCCCCCCCCTGCGTACGCGCCTGACTCCAGGTATAATTGCTCGATCTTCATCACGAGCATAGGCCTATTCCTCGTTTTTGTTATTCAATCACGAGCTGCATGTGGGACTGTAACTAAGTCTTAAGAGAAAAGTAGAAGTCAATATATTTCTACACGATAAAAGGCGGGAGAGTTATTTTCGACTACATCACAATCCACTTACCCAGGGGCGGCGATTTCTGTTAATGACCGGGGGGGACGAAATGCGAAATTTTTTACAATGATGTTATGCGAGGGAGCGTAGCGACCGAGCGAGATTTTTTTTTTTCAATTTTATTAGTCTAAACGCTGCACTTTTGGGCCTTCCGGAGCCTAAAAGTGTGTTGCAGTAATTATTCAGTATTATGCTATACAATTTGTTTTGCACTTTTTCAAATTTCCAGGGGGGGGACGATCCCCCTAAAAAAATTGAGGGGGGGGGGGGGGACGTGTCCCCCCGTCCCCCCGGGATCGCCGCCCCTGCACTTACCAATCTGCAAATTCGAGGTTCGCCGCTTAGTAGTCTCATATTTCAAACATTCATAACTTTCTTTATAAAATATCCATCTTGATGCTGAATGGAAACTAATCTTTATCCTTTTGGCGTAAAGTTAAATATATTTAATAGGATTACTTTGTAAGCGCCACGTGAGAAATAGACAGATATTATTTACTTTCAACCCGACACACGATCCATTGGGTCAGGAGAGGACAGGCGCGTTAAATATTAAAACAAATTAATGCTTCCCCCCCCCCCCCCCCCCCCCCCCCCCCCCCCCCCCACTGAGCGAAATTTCGGTCGGCGCGATTGTCAAATTCCGGGGGCCAAAAAAGATTTTAGAATATTGCTCATTTTACAATTTATGCGACAAATCGCGAGTTTCTCCACAAAGTTCACGTTTTGTGATGTCCCTTCTGGGCCACCATACATGACTGAGGTCAGACAGCGCGCGCAACCAATAAAGAGTCAGGGGTCGTTTCTCAAAACCGTCATAACTACAAGATCAACGACATCTCGACGCTGTCGCTCAATTTGTCCGCTAAGTGTTTCACAAAACTGTCTTTGCCAAGATGAGTGACAACTTCCGCGACAATGCCTTGTTGCAACTCCAAAGCTGTCATATGCTTTGAGAACGCAATCTCAAGGCAACTTTAAGTGAGTATATAGGCAGCAAAAAAAATTAATATTCTTCAAGCTCTAGTTTTACTGACCAGTTCTTATTATTGTTAATATAAAAACATTAAACAAGCATAAAAACTGTTTCATAAGGATTAAATGCCTTAACGAGTAAATAAGATTATTTGCACAGATTTCGTTCTTCCTGTGTTTACCATATAAAAGTCGCCGAATCATTTTTTTAGATGTCATTAGTAACACATGTTTTTCATGCAAATTAGATATTTGTATGATTTGTGCTATCGCTCTCTAAGATTTATATATTTTTCAAACAGTTTGAGTGAAATTAACCCTCATAATCTCCTTTGGTAATTCAGGATAAAATATGATGGATTGTGACAAAGACTATATATTTTTAGCCAATAGTATCGAAGTCAGGCGCGTACACAGGGGGGTGTTTGGGGGTAAACCCCCCCCCCCCCCCGTTGGTATTTTTATGTGTATAAACCCCCCTAAAAAAAAAAAAAAAAAAAAAACCCTTCGTTTTTTTTTGTTTTTTTTAATTAATAAAAATATTCCCATGACTGACCTAAAAAAGGCGACCTTACCCCCCCCCCCCCCCAACGGAGCAAAATGTCAAATTTTCAAATTTCGAGACCAAAAAAAAAAAAAAAAAGTGTACCCCCCCCCCCCGCTTATTCAGCGGCCGGCTGAGTCGTTGCGATTTTTTTGGACCAAAAAAAAAAAAGTATCCTCTTACCCCCCCCCCCCCCCCCCGCTTATTCAGCAGCTGGCTAAGTCGATGCGAAATTTTCGGCCCGATTTAAAAATGTTAAACCCCCCCCCCCCCTTGAAATAATCCTGCGTACGCGCCTGATCGAAGTCATTAATTTGTCGCTGAACCAGGGGCGGATCCAGCCGGCGGTAAGGGCGGGGACCCAAGAGGGGCCCTATTCGTGAAAAAATATTTAGCGGCGAATCGGTCGGCGAATGCGCCGGGGGGGGGGGGGGTGGGTGGGTAATGAGCCCTAATTTTGTTTTTGTTTCAGCACCCCCCCCCCCCCCCCTCCTGAATCCGCCACCGGGCTGAACATGGTTTTGTGAAACGGGTTTTCTGCTTCCTGACATCTCCGTTGGTCGCGGACAAAGATAGGACTGTCATAGAGTTGGTTTCATGAAACAACACCCAGTAAGGTACTTGCTGGGTCGATTATTTTCTATTGGAGAGGCGAACATATTTGCAAAGATGGCACAAATTATTCCGGTTTATCTTCCACTTTGGGTGGTTATAATAACGGTCTATGTTTCTTGGTGTACATCTGGAGTAGGCGCCATTCTAGCTGGTGGCTTGCCATTGATTTGCACGAGTCCTTGTCAACAAACGGTAAGTTTAGAATATACATGTACAATATGGAAAGCTATGGACCGTAGTGCAATTTCGTATGATTGAATTTCATTTCTGTCTATGTCAAGGGAATAGCCTATGAAGCTTCCTGTATACATTTATGGATCACATCCGGCTGAATGATGTTAACAGTTGCAAGAATACATGTATGTTGAGGATTATAAGGATATATTTTTGTCGGCAAAGGTACACTAGGAATGTGAATTTTTTTTTTATTTTTTTTTAATTATAAGTTTTTTTTTTTAATTGATGGTAATAATTGCATGCTTTCAACTTCCTATATCTGTTTTAATGATTATTATTGTTATTATTATGATTATCAATACTAATGTTGCTATTATCACTCTCATTATCATTGTTATTATTAATATTATTATTATTATTATAATTGTTATCATTGCAATCATTATTATTTGTTTAATTATTATTATTTTTATTGTTATTATTATCATCATCATCATCATCATCATCATCATCGTCATCATTTTTATCAGCATTATTGTTGTTCTTTTGGTTGGTGTTGTTATCATTGAAGGAAAAATAAACAAAACTGGAGTTCATGAATTGAAAAATTATACGGAAGAGTTGTATTTATTATTGGTTGAGAAACGTTGATATATATGAGCTTCCACTTTTCAAAAGTATGTTCGAAGCATTTGTTAGTTCAGTCAATCACTTTTTAACTTTGCAAAAGTTAATCTTCTATTCAATGAATCTTCTTTGTAGAATGTCAAACTATCCTACTCTATATACAGAAACAGTGAATAACCTGTAATTTGTTTAGATGCATAATGGACTTTTCACAAGTTGAAAGATGGGTTTGATATACAGTGCGTCCCAGAAAAAACGAAACCGAGAAGTATCGATGTTTTATCATAACTTAATCACAACCATAATTAATGAATGATACATATTTGGAAAGCTTAGAGTCTCTTCTTTTAGTTGATGCTACTCATGTGATGCATATTTCACGCATGAGTGATTAAAAGCAATTTGAAGGAAGGAAACCGAAAAGTAATTTAGCGGGCGGTATCTGAATTTCAAAGAAAAAAATCATATGCCTAGAAAGTTCATTTTCTGCTCTTTCATATGATACCTCAATCAGGAAAAATAAGCCAGGAATAACAAAGTTCTGTTTGTTTAAAATAGCCCTTACATTTTCATAATTTTAACAAACGAATTCGTTTTCACTGGGTGCCTGCCGTAGCAAAAAGCAGATTTGACAAAAGACTTAACTCCGTTTCGTTGACAATCAGCCATGCATGAAGACTCTCGTCTACGGCTGATTGTCAACGAAACGGAGTTAAGTCTTTTGTTAATTTCGTTTTTTGATACGGCAGGAAGCCAGTGAAAACGAATTCGTTTAATAAAATTATGGAAATGCAAGCACTACTTTAAACAAACAGAACTTTGTCATTCCTCGCTCATTTTTCCTGATTGAGGTGTCATGTGAAAGGGCAGAAACTCAACTTTCTAGAAATGTGAATTTTTCTTCGAAATTCAGATATCGCCCGCCAAATGTCTTTTTGGTTTCCTTCCTTCAAATTGCTTTTAATCACTCATGCGTGAAATATGCATTATTTGAGTAGCATCACATGAAAGAGGAGATTCTAAGCTTTCCAAATATGTATCATTCATTAATTATAGTTGTGATTAAGTTATGATAGAACATCGATACTTCTCGGTTTCGTTTTTTCTGGGACGCACTGTATAATATTTCAGTTCTGTTCCTAAGCGTCATTTAAAAAAAAAATAAGAACTAAATTACGGATTTTTAAAAATCCAAACCAGGTGTATCTTTTGAAATGTAGTTATGTCAAAGCTCCATGCATGTACACGTAGAGCTCGTAGGACCCCACGTTAGACTAGAGTGTCCACCTGAACAATGGTTTTCCTGTTTGGCAATAAGTTTGTATAAGAGCCAAGTTCATCCAATTTTGTGTAGTCATATATATGGACAGAAATTTTGTTTCTTGTGGCAACTCCACTCTAATGGGTTTGAATGGGTTCGAGGACCTCGGAAATTAATCAGTTTTGTTTTCCTCAATACATTCATGTCTACACTCACAATCACTCTATTTAAAATTACAAACTTCAACATGTTGATAAAGAATATTTGTGCCTATAACCTTACTGATGTGTTGACCAATATCTATCGAACAATTTATTGAAATGCTACACCCATGTTTTCAGAGTCATAACAATTGTGATGAGAGCTATTCTCGAAATGATCGTGTACTATGCGAACACATGTCTCATAAGACGACTTTATAGGCGAGGTGTAGGTAAAACGAGTTCACAATTTCCCCAGCAATGATACGGACCCTTTTATTTCTCTACTTTAAAACACACACACACTATCATGTCATTTTCTTTACATCATCCCGCGGGAGGGGTGGAGGGGGGGGGGGGGCATACATAAGTGTAGACAAAATAATGTAGGTCAGGTTTGATTATCGGGGTAGCTCCGGCTAGACAAATCTCCTTTGTCCCTGCATGCTCTCAACTGAGAATTCCCAGATTTTCATTTATTTAGATTAAGAACAGAACATTGTGCATTCGGAGCACTAAACGTGCGATTTGTTATATACTAATCAAAGCAATCAGTATAAAATCCAACTGTTGGGCATTCATGTAGTAAGCATGGCTAGGTAAAGGTGGGGTTTCCGTCAGCCAGGTATTATAAATTATAATTTTCATAGATACCCAATAAACAAAATCACGTGAAAATCACGTCAATATCAAGGTATCGACTTGAGGAGAGTTACGTTCTTCAAACACCTGACATTTACGTAAATGTGTTAATACGTTTATTGCACTAGGTAACTTAAAACACACGTACACTAAATCACGCAATTGTCACTGCAATATCACTATTATAATAACGTGATTATCCCTACCTTGGAGACCATGGTTACTAAACTTAATACTCCCGTGTTTGTTTGGTTATGAAATTACATCTTCATGAACGAAATTATCGCGTCACAGAAACACGTGAAGCGTTAGTGATAGTTTTAGTCAAAATATCTGCGTGAAATTCACGTGAATATTACGAGGCTGACTTGAGATGAATCATGTTCTTCATTCACGTGAAATTTACGTCGAAGAGGAAATATGTTACTGTAACCCTTGTTCAACCCAATAATTACGCAAATGTTACACAATAAATGAACCAAAATAGTGACGTTCTCATCCCGTTTCTGAACATCGTGTCTTGGATCTTCCATAATTACGTCCAGGCGCGCCGGAAGCAGTTTGGGATTAGAGGGGGTGGGAGGGGGTGGGTGCAAACATCCCAGAAGAGAAAGCTAGTTGCAACTGGTCCAGTTGATGAAGCAGTTAATGCCAACTGGTAACCCTGGAAATTGAAATGGGCTAAATGATCCAGTTGATCCAGGCCAGTTAGAATTCAACTGGTCTAGCTGAGCCATTAGAACCATTTGGTAAAACTTCCAACCAGTTGAACAGCAACAACACTTCAATACTGGTACGTCTGTATTTCCAATGTAAAGGCATTGGTAATAAGTAGACTTACATAATTTAATTAATCGAAATTTTTTCATATACTTGTATTTTATTGAAATTATTTTAGTTCATAGTTAATGTTTCCCTTATTCATGTTTTAACTAAATGTAATTTATGCGAATTAGCGAAATGTCTTAATAACTGGTAATTTATATTTGTAGTATTTTCGAAATGAATTGCATATAACAAAATCATCAGTAATTAAGAAATATGCTGTAAATTCAGATATATTGTTAAAAAAACATAGATCTGCACGCACCCCATATTCAATATGCAAATTAATTGGTGTCAGCTGGTGCAATGAAAATATGCCAACAGTCAGTTATCAACTGGTGAACATAGAAATATGCCAACAGTCACGGGATTATCATCACGGAACTTAAATGGTAACTGTGAAACCATGAAGACACCCAAGAATAACTCACTTTCACACCTGGAAAACACGGACTACCCAGCTTATATTAATAATCCGTTTGAGTCACGAGATCATCACCGCGGAACTTATGGCTACTTTGCCTACCATTTAAATAGGTGTTTTAAGACACCTAATAATGACTAATTTTTCACACCTTAAAGTCACGTATGCCCAGCTTAGATTAATAATCCGTTTGAGTCACGAGATCATCACCGCGGAACTGCTGGCAACTTTGACTACCATTTAAATAGGTGTTTTAAGACACCTAACAATTACTAATTTTTCACACCTAAATATCACGTATTCACAGCTTAGATTAGTAATCAGTTTTAACTACGTGATCATTACCAAGAAAGTTATGGTAACTTTGAAACTATTTAAAAAGTTGTTTTAAGACACCTAATAATTACTAATTTTTCACACCTAAAAGTCACGTATGCCCAGCTTAGATTAGTAATCAGCTTGAGCCACGTGACCATAACGAAGAAACGTATGGTAACTTTGAAACTATTTAAAAAGTTGTTTTAAGACACCTAATAATTACTAATTTTTCACAACTAAAAGTCACGTATGCCCAGCTTAGATTAGTAATCAGCTTGAGCCACGTGATCATAACGAAGAACCGTATGGTAACTTTGAAACCATTTAAAGAGGTGTGTAAGACACCTCAGAATTACCAATTTAATATAACCAGAGATTCACGGACAGAACAATAAGACGATTAGCCGGTGTAAGTAACGTGATTATTACCATCAACCTTGGATAACCTGTGAAACCAATCGATAAAGGTGCTTACAAGACCAAATAATTACGTATTTATCACCACCACCGGTTAACGGACAAAGAACTCGTTGCTTGGTCAAGTGGTTATTTGGTCATAAACACTTGATTTACAGAGGTAAGTGTAATCACGTTACTCCAGTCGCGTGATAAATTGGTGGTTTTTAGGTTAGATGAATACGTGAACAGGAGTACCTTTTTTGTTTAAATGAAGGCAAGTGTCGATAACGTTTAAATCTAGTTCAAAAGGCACTATACTTTAAAATCACTTAAAATACACTCCCAAAAGAGGTTACTTTTTAGTGTTTTGTTTATTGGGTACCCAATAATAGTACGTCAAAATGTAACATAGCATGGTCGGATAATTTTATATGTTATAGTTTGTTTTTATTCAGAGTTAAAAATATTACACTTTAATTTCCATGATTGGATCGGTCGTTTGATTTGCAGTTTGTAAAAATAACAAATAAAAAAGAAACCTGCTCATTTTTATAAGAGTATAGTATGACTTCGTTACATAAAATTCTCATTAGTCCTCGGGAAAGGTGTCAAGTTTTCCTAAATTGCTTTTTCAGATTTTTAGTTCCCCCTTTCTGTTACAGGATGCATCTCGTGTTTCAAGTTCATCGCTCCCACCATGCGTTATTACTCCAAGTAAGTCACGTAAAATATTTCTGTCAGAAATGTACTACATCGTAAATAATATCCATTATCAGTGTTTAAAAGAGGAGAGGAAAGGTTGTCATGACAATTTGTGCTTTGTGGTTTAATACCAATATATATATGTCTCGTCTCTCACTGCTTAACCAATCATGTTTGTAAAAACCATTATATAGGCCTACTTGTCTCCTCCCCTTCTCTTCCTCCCTTTCCCCCTCTTTTGTTCTGCCACCTTCGTTTTTCTTCTTCTTTCTAGCTTCCTCTTTTTCCATGTTTTTTCTTCCTCTTTACATCCCTGTTCCTTCTCTTTTAATCCATCTCTATCTCTATGTTCCTCGCTCTCACCCTCTTTTCATTAATATGTATTCTTTCATAATGCACATGGTCATACCTAAATGATACGTCAGTTCATTTATAATGACTTAAGATATACCTTTTTAAAAGTATACCAATATAAGGTTCCTAATAAAGAAGATTTAGAAATAATGGCCACGTTTAAGGACAAACAAGCATTTTGCGAAAACGCCCTGATGAACTCAATTTATACATTTTTATTTTGACGTAACTATGGTCACTTTTACCTCTATAGGATTTGAGACCCAGATCTATTAACTTACTGGAAGCCCTTCTTTTGTCCTGGCAGCAAAATTAATAACACGATATTTAAATCAAGTTCTATACAACAAGCAGGTATCTGTTTAAACAAGATTGTTGTTTATGATTGGTTGGAAGTTATTGTATAAATTCGGTACAAAGAAAGTGTCAAAGATGGTTCTTGCATTCCTCCTAGATGTCTACCATAAATCAATACACATTTACTTGCAGAAGTAGATGACTGATATATAGTGATCTCTTTTAAGAGACTGAGAGGTTTGCTTTTTACACGACATTTCATAATTCTTTTCTCCCCCTCCCCCAATTTTGTTGTTGTTGTTGTATAAGTGCCTGATATAATATAATATATATATATATATATATATATATATATATATATATATATATATATATAGATAAACCAGTGCTGTCAGCATTAAAAGAAATCTATTCTTCCCGAAACATTCTAGAATTGTAAGAATGATCGGGCTGGTGGGACAAATCTGCTTGCAGGTATAACACAACATTCCATCAAGCACATTAAATGTCTTCCTTATTCAATAAATGTATAATTAGGTCTAATGACAACAATGGCTAAGGTGTACAGGTCAGTATGTAGTATACCCTCAAATGGGGATACTGGGATAGTGCATTTTTTGTCAGATTTTCTGGGGATTTTGATTATTTTTGGTTTGATTTTGATTGGTAGATTGCTGGAATCGGAACACCGTACCTGTAAACCAGGCACCAGGTGGTCCCCTCCAGGTTGGTATGGGTTCTTCGTCTGTCATAGGACCAGATGGAAAGGTCTACCTGGAGATTTCTCCTCAGTGGCGTGCATCGCAAGGTGAACAACTTGATGATGATGATGATGATGATGATGATGATGGTGATGGTGATGGTGATGATAATGATAATGATAATAATTATGATAATAATGATAATAATAAGTATAACAATAATATGAATATGAATAATGATATGAATATGAATATTATGAATGATATGAATAAAATGAATACGAAAAATTAGTGATAAAAGAAGAAAGGGCATTTGTATGGCACCATCTATCTAGGACTTCTATTCCGAAGCACACAAGGAAAAATATATTTAGAAGTGAAACAATAGCCAAATGAGTGTCATATCCTGGTGTTAAGCAGTTGTACAATAATACGTACTTCAACTTTAATGTAAAAGTATAAATTTAGTAATCAAGAAAAAAACTTTTTGAGATGAATATCTAGTACAAAGTAAAGTCTATTAGCCGCTGCGATTTTGGTGTGTAAAAGTTACATGAACGGCGTCTGCGTGCAACAAAGGACTTGCGTGTATTCACTGAGCTCTGTATATTACAAGATACAGAAATGTGAAACGTTACACTTTACGTCAACATAACCGCCGCGGTTTTGCCCGCGTTTCACATAATTATGATGGGAAGTGAAATGGTAGAAAGCATAATAGGTAGGAATATGTATAAAATCAAACTTCATACATGATTTGAAAAACACAGCCAAATCTATCGATTGGTAGTGACTAGTTTAAATTACAAATCGAGAACAGTATCTTATAATTACGTGTTTCAAAAAAACACCTTCCTTTCAAAACTTGACATATCTCAAATTTCTTCTTTCCTAGATCGCATTAGCCTTTTGACTGGATATGAAGTTAAGGTCATGTGCAGCAGGAATGTTTGTGCTTCACAATATTTCTGTGTCACAATGTTATTCAACAGAACATTGACCATTGAGGATACTCGTGTAAGTCATTGCATTTCATGTTCTAAAACATTCTTTTCGTTCTATCGTCAGAAATTTGAATTTGCGGGAAGGGCAATTCTACCCGTATATTAAAACATACATATTTGATATATTAAGAATTAGCACAGTGGGAAGTAAACTATCTTGGTCTTGTTTAATAATCGAACTTGATTTGTTTTTTTATTATGCCATTTGTAGCACAGGGCACATTTAAGATTTAGATATCACTGTTCATTAAAATTATGAAACAACATACGAGGGAATGTTTCAATATACACCTATGTTTAATTTTTTTCTCCTTTGTTTCTTGCAGTCTAATTTTACGGTGAGCTGTCAGTATGGGAATTTTTCCCAGCCTAGCATGGACTACGTCATTATTATAAAGAGCCTTCCGAAGAATAATGATGATTCAAACAAAGGAAGTCATATCGGAGCCCTTCCAAGTATGTACCGCCTCATTCGCATGGTGTAAATATGTGATTGCACCCTGACATAGCAAATTGATCCATTTCATAGCAAGGAATAATAAATGTCTTTATTCGATCTAAAACAAAACAAGGGTAATTAGTTTTGTGTGTACGATGGAAAGCAAGCTCATTTTACGTTGCATTTACTCAAAGGTAGGATAATTATTATGCTGCGTGCTGTCTTGTCTTCATTATACTGTATTCGCGTATTTCATGGGTTTCACTTGTTTGCTTTTGTCCGTTTTGTAAGTTGTTTTGCATTTAACGACACGTGCTAATAATCTAAACAAAAAAAATCTTTTAAATGATGAGATTAAACTTTCATCTAGAAAATTGGATACTCAAATTTTAGGATTTCATTTTTGTTCTCAGGTTGTAAACAAGAACCACAGGTTTCTCTTTGCAATATTGGTAAGTTTGTTTTGCATTTATTCGAGGGATTCCTCTGTCGTTACTAACTTGGTGGCAGCGGTGGGATAGTTACACCTAGATTTGCTGACAGTTTTGGTTGCAGGTGGCAGGGTTGATATTTATACATACACATAAATCTTCTTCACACTTAAGTGTAGCTTGGCAGCGGTGGGCTGAGAGACACAGACATGTATTTTTTTTAAAACTGAACTTGGTAATAGCGTCGGATAAATACATGTATATGTATGTTTCTTCCTTTCTTTTTTAATGTTTTTTTAACTTTGCAGCAGCGGGATAAGTTCACATAGCATAGGGTTTCTAAAAAAAATTGATAGCACCGGTTGAATAGGTACAAAATGTATGTAAGTTTTGTTTGTTTGTTTGTTTGATTGTATTAAGCCTCGGTCACAACTACCATTACGAACTGCTAAGAACGCCGTACGAACGATTTTCAGACCACTCCGTATGAAACCAGCGTTCGTAGACCGTTCGGAAGTTTGCAAGATTGTTTTCAACCTCGTACGAACGTCGTAATATCATCGTAAGAACCACGCAAGATCTTCGTATGTTTCGTTGGGTCGAGAGACAATTCGTCGCTGTTTTCACGAAGTGACGTTAGTGAAAAAAAAATTGCATTCGCTTTGCGTGACGACTTTCCTCACTACCGTCACTTCGTGAAAATAGGGACGAATTTTAGAAGCCTCAAATTTCTTGTTGTTCATAGAGGACTCTTACGGCGTTGGTAAAAACGTCTTACGAACGGAGATTGGTATGGCCTTCCTACAACATCTCCTGGCGTTCGCAAGGTGCTCCTAAGGTGTACACATGTTATCCAATTTGTGCAACGCTTTTTTGCAACCCGACAAAATATACAAACAAATCGTAAGATCTTCTGACAAATGACTTGAGAATGCTTTCAGTTACAAGTACAACCGTCTTGAGAGAACGAAAACTCGTAAAATTGCCGTAAGCCTGACGTAAGAAGAACTCAATGCATTCTTACGAGAAGAAAAAAAAAACGAGATATTAAACGGCCTTCGTACAAATCCGTAAGAAGGACGTAAGAAGCTATGCCCAATCTACGAATATCTACGAACTCTGGAATTCGTACGAACGCATCGTTCATACGAACCTTTGTGACCGTAGCTTAACATGTTGTAACTGGGGATAGCGGTGGGACAGGTACATGTAAATGTAGATTTGTTTTATAAAGATTTTAACCTGGCAGTAATTGGGTGAATACACTGATAGTTCAATTTATTTTATATTTAAGGGGATTAATACAAATTTGCAGCAATGTGAATGTATCAAAACAAATTACCATGAATACTTAGAAGAAGCTGAAAGTTGTGTAGACTCTCCCCAGAACTGGGTGCCAGAATACAAACCCTTCATTAGTCAGATCAGCAATGGCTCTGTAGTCGTCTCATTTTGGCCGAGTACCAGTCAGACATACCCTAGATACCACGTCTTGCTTGAGGAAGTAGTAGATGTTAAAGAACGCAGAATGCCACACTTCTTTGAAGCATACTTTAATTCAGTGAGTATATCAAATGCGATTATATTTGTATTGTGTTAAATAATTCTAAGGAGATTATCAACCATAATCAAACCATCTTTAAATAGTTTTGTGTGTGTGTGTATGTGTGTGTGTGAAGTAATATGAAATGTACATGAAGATCACAGTCATAACAGCTGCATCATTATCGAAACAAGGAAAATGATGCTATTTCTCTCACTTTTTCATATTAGTAAAGACTCACGTCTCAACTTCTTTACACAAAGCTTCATGAAAGACATGAATTTTCAAGAAAAAAGAATATAATTATTTGGAATATTGATATTTTTTTGGTGTTATTCTTCTGACTTCATTTTTATACAAGGAAATGACATATTTGTTTCAGGATTAACAAAAAATTGATGCCTCATCTAATTCCTAACATAATATGTAATTTAACCTCAACCAACTTCTGTAGTAAATTGAATTGAACAGTGTCAAAATGCATTTAGTACGCCATTGACCAACGATGTAATGAAAAGACAAATAAAACCTGGTCCTTTTAGAAACAGTTATAACTGTCTTTAAATATTTCTCAACGGCGTCTTTGACCTTCATGTTCCTTCAGTCTACGTCATTAGGTTGCCGGAAGTTGGTTTATTTATCATGAACTTTTTGATTACTTTTCCAGCAAAGAGATGGCAACCCTAATGTGTATTTTAACAACGTTTCCGAGGGAATTTATATAGCTTATGTAAGTCAATGAAAATACTTTTTTTTTTTTTTTGAATCTGTACAATTTTTTCTTTGCGTTGAAAGTTTATGTTTTCTGAGCTTCTTTTAGTTTCTTTTTACAGAATTGAAACTTCGTCGTATCAATTTAATTATTTCAAATAGCATATTGATTCGATGTTAGCACTTTAATGTAAATAACTTTTAATTTAACCACAATGTTATATATGTTTTATTGGGGCTCCAATCTCTGTCATTATCATTATATCTTTTATTTCCTTGCTTCCAAACATACTTGCTAAATAAAAATGAATTTTAGAACAGAGATAAAGACCACATTGTGCATCATCTTTCTCTTTCAAAGGGACATTTAGTATTTCGAATGAGATATTTTAATTTGTTGTCATTTCCTAGGTATCTATTGATGAAAACATTTGTCCAGATTGCACGTATTTCAGATCGAGCAATAACATTACTGCTCGTGGTAAGTTTTCCCTTAGAGTTATCATTATTTTTCACTTTTGATTTGTGCATTGTATTATTAAAGAGTTTGAATAACCCCAGCTTTTATTTGCAACTTTAAAAGTGGTGTCGTGGTCGAATGGATACTTCACTAGACTGTAGATCACTTTAGACTTTAAGCTAAATGTGCCACTCTCCACTCATGACTGTAGTAAATGGAAAAACTAGTAGGAAGTCATTCCCTGAATACTCTGAGCGTCTAAGGGTAGCGGCCAAGCTAATGCCAGGGTAATGATCCCCCCTACTCAGATTTGGTTTGGTCGGGGGTGTGCCGCTGAAGCCTCGAAACCCCTACCCATTTCAATGGGTCATTTGGGGGAATTTTTCTCAAAATAAGGCCAATTTTTCCAATTTGGAAATTCTGAAAAAAGACCCATTTTTAATGGTATTTTTGTCAAAAATAGGACACATGTTTAGGGATTTTTCGTGAAAAAGTCACCCATTAGAGCGGCACAACCCCGTATGTCTTAATATGTGAGTACTTTGATGTGAAAGTACTTTATCTTTGATTATCCTTGATCATCCTATGTGATAGAAACGTGGCATATTATTCTACCTTTTTATATTATTATCATTAATATCATTATTATCATTATCATTAGTTTTGTTATTTTAATTATTCTCGTGTTTGCAGCCATGCCCACTCCCGCCCCCTCAACACCACCTACTTCACGCCGGATCAACACCCGTCCTAGAGACCCTGAGGAGGTTAGCATCTCAAATAAATCAGGATCTACACTCCATTTAGCAGCGCTGGCCGGAGCTCTGGGAGGAGTTCTTGGGTTATTCTCATCATGGTCCTCATAGCCCCCACGCGTAAGAGGAACTCTTTACCTCCTTTTAAACAAATTGGTTTTGATAAAGAGATTGGAGGAGATAATTTGGAAAGATCAGTCATGTTTCATCGGAATAACATCATTACATGCCATACGGTTAGACCATTTACCACATCACATTATCTGACCCAATGTTAGAACTTATGTCTGTACTGATCCCGCGTTTCTATAAAGACTGGTAAAAACAATTCTCGTTCGTAGTCTCCAATCAATAAGTGTCATAATAAACACGTGAAAGGTGAATTATCAATAACTTCTCTGATATTCTTTCAATTAATCTTTGCAATAACTCTTGATAATTTTTTATTGCAAAGTTTAAATATGAAATGTTTACGAAACACCACATTGTTTAGATAGCTTACACCTTCAATTGATTTACCATGATTTCTTTAATACTTAGCAATATCATTGAGATATGTTTAAAGAAAAAACAGGTTTACTCCAGTATTTGTTTACGTTAATATGATTTTGTTTCTTAAGGTTGAAATATGAGTTTTTCTTTGCTCACTTCTGATTTGATTCCTTAAGTTCATTCTGTTTAATATCTTGTTCAAACTAGGCAACTCGTATGCCACATGAACAACGTACACACGAAGTCATTAGGAACATAGAATGATGACATATAATTACATGGTTACTTGTGAATCTTGTCACAGTTATTTAGAAAACACATTTTCGATACATTAAGGATTAATCATATTTTTAAAGTTCTAAATCTCCTCTTCATAGTTCAATGATATATTCAAAACTAGATGATGCATATAAAGTGAGAACAAGAGTTATTGATTTTGGAAATGTGTTTCCTTAACAGTACCATTTAATTTCTGTAGTCATTTCATTTGATTTCATTTCATGCAACATGCTTGCAGTCAGTGTGATAAAAGGATATCCAACTTTCCTTACTATTTGATGTATGTTTAGCAAACAAAGGGGAGAGAATTTGTGGTAATTACAATATTACTCATTTTTGATGATTTGCTGATATCCAAGCAAGCATAATGAATAATAAAATATATCCTTTGTGCTCTTACTCCGTGTTCTGTACCATGAAATTTCCATTCTGTTGTTGTTATGTTTTTGATCTTCTTGCCAATTATGCTGATCACATATTAGATCAAGGCATTTAATTTAATTAATATTCATCCACTAGGAATCGAAATGGAGATCTAAAATTAAATGTGTTATGTAAATGTGCAATGTACAAATGTGGTAGTCATAGTTATGCATTTTCCCACTCTGCTTTTAACATAATTATTTTTATGTAAACTGTTAAACAGTACCTCTTGTAAAATGACTCAAGAACTATTTTATACTTTTTGTCTTTCATGTCCAGCAGTGGGTGTTACAACTATGTATTTCGATATGTCTCATGTAACATTTTCATGCAGTGCATGTAAACTATGTTCTGAAATAAACTTTAATAAATTTCTGTTATACACAAATGATGTTGCCAATGCTTATAATGTTACAGTCTTCATCGTTCTTTATTAAAGATATAAAAATATAAAGTATAAAAGTAACAACACTAACCACTAATCATGCAATAAACAATAACCGAGAAAAAAGGAATTTTACTTCCTCATACGTCAGTGCATATTTCCGCCTATATCTTGTGCTATCAGGTCCGAAAAGGAAATGTTAGTTATCAATAATTTGGCTCATGATGTACATTAATATCATTCTGTTGAACCAATTCATATAATGTTTCCCTTTTCCCCTTTTCTTCAATCATGTCAATGATTTCTGTCTGTTCTGCTCTCACTTTTGTTGATAATTTTTAACAGTTGAAAAAAAATCACCTAAAATCTATATATAAATACTGCGTGTTATTGAAATGCACATAACATAGGCCTCATTGTCTGCCTCTTCAACTAATAAACCACCAACACATTTCTACTTATGAGCATAATCAACTTTCTACACAGCCTCGTGATTCATTAATCTGAAAAGATCAAATGACTTGAATAATAACTTGTGTTGGAATATCTTGAAAATCGTATCAATTGAACAAGTAAATGGGGAGGAAATATGATTAGGTTTATATAGTAAGTGAACAGATTTGATTGCATACCATAAAAACAGTGAGAATCCACTCACATATAGTAAACAATTTAACAATCAAATGAATTACTACTTCAGTTTTATAAAGGTAAAAGGCATCGTCAGAAATAAATCAAAGTGCAATTTTTACTAAGATAAAAATTGTTGTTTATACATAAATCTCATAAATCATAATTAAGGTTAAACAACTTTTGGTACACACAAGGTATTTTCCAATAAGCTTTTAATTTATTATACATCTTTTTTCACATTAAAATAAACTTTGATGTGCATCAAGGTACTATTTAAAAGGTTGCTTATTGCAATTTTATATAAAGACGAGAAAATGTTGTTTGAAAACTACAAACAAACCTTATTGATGCATGTGTACACAATGTGTACAAATTCTATTCATAGTTGTATAGTTTGATTTTCACTCGGCAATAAAACTCAGCAATAAAATTCAAATTTACATTAACAACAAAAAACTATACTATACTATAACTACACGACAGCTGAATGGAATAGTATCTTGGAACAGTATCAATGTGGAAGAGATGTCTGCACCAGATGGCGCTCTTTCCACTATTTTTATAGGAATCTCTCCATTTACAATGAACCATCAATTTCCTTGTGTGTAAACGAATCCATGTCTATATTGCTGATATTACAACATGATAATTATGGACCTTGTTTGATGCAAATCCCAAATCATTGAGTCCCTCATCCTCTCAAGCACACTCACACATCCTCCTTCACACACGCACATCCACACACACTCACTCGCCACATGTCCTCCCACACACTTCTATCCCCCACATTCTCATATCGCAAAAATCCCTGATATGCCTTAAAAGCACGTCTAGATATAAAGCATTAAACCGTCAGTTGTTTTTTTGTATTGTAGATAAATTTGTAGCAACTGAGTGCAAAAAAGGGTCCTGTGTATATTTACTAAAGATATGTGTTAAAAGATGCCAAGCATATTACATTTACATGCTTATCATAAAAAAACGAACCATTATGGTTTACAGCGCCATATCTGAACGAGGCATAACACAGTTTAAAACGCACTTTAACATGACCTCATTAGCACCGTACATCTTATGAATTTTAAAATGTCATAAACTGTTGTACTTCTAAAAACAGTAATCAGCACCATTGAAGCCCTATAGTCAAAAAACTATATCAAGATTGTACATGATAGCCACTTTGTAGAGTGTGTTCACAATACACATTTCTTTATAGTAAATGCTCTAAATGATTCATTAAATGTCCTTGTTACCCTTATGTCCTTATTGTAAGTGCGTTTTAAACTGTGTTATGCCTCGTTCAGATATGGCGTTGACCACTTTATTATGAAAAACACAAATTTGTAGATAACTTGACTGAGTAATGCACCACTCTTCATTTTCTGATGATAGAATGAGAGTGAAAATAGCCCAATCTTTAAGGAACATGATATACGAATTGAGTTTATACTACACTTCATCCCCCAAAGAAGTTAAAGCTAAAGAGAACAGTGTTCTACCATCCTCCATTGTCCCATCTGAGTATAGTGACTCTAAACCAGAGTCAGGCGATGACGGTTGTTCTATTTTAGAGGGTGTTTGGACGTCCATAGGGGAATGTATATCCGCAACTTTACTGATGCTATCCATTTGTTTGTAAGGCATGGAATTGGCATAAACCTGACTCTCCTGCATAAGTCTTCCATTGGCCATCATGTTGTTATGGTGAATAGTTGCTGGTACCATGGAGGGACTGGTGAATCCGCAGGTGGGGTAGTCAGAGTAGATGGTAATTCCATTCGACGGAGTGAAGTGATTGATGTACTGGGTTCCATTCAGAGAATCACAGTCACCTGCAAGAAAATATATGACACCAAAGTTGTCTTTTGAAGGAAATCATTGAAAATTATCATGAGGCCGATATCAATAAATGTTGTAAGTGTTTTGCAACACAAATCATTATATTGCAGATTCAGTTCAACAAAGCACGCACTCAATATCATGATCAATAACAAAGTAATTGTCATAAACTCTAAACACAATAGCTCAAACAACAATATTGATTTCATTTCTTAAGCTTCAGTCTAAAAAATATATACCTTGGTTCTTATTCTTAACTATGAAGGAGACTAAATTGTTGTAATGAAACCTTGTGATATTTATTTATTTATTCAGTTTTATTTAAAAACAGGGTAGTCTTTTCAGTGCCAAAGGCCGGCTTTACAAAAGAGCCCTGTACATACAAAGATTTATTTAAAAAATGGAATACATTGTAGAAAACAAAGACATTTATAAACAACATACCATAAGAGATTGAAAGGCTAAAAACACAGACATATAATGAATTGGGACTTGTTATTGGGACATATACTATTATCATTACTAATTTAAAAATTGTTAATTTCATGATTATGATTATCATCACCATTATTATCATTATTATCAAAATAGTATTTATACTATGATTTCCCTATGTTATGAAAGCAATTGGTCTTACTATATGGAATGTTGTTCTGATGAGACATGGCTGACTCTGTAGGAAAACTTCCAACCTCAGTCTCCTTGAACATGCTGGGGACACCAGGGCTCCACTTGCAGGTACGGGAGACAAAAAACAAGATCAGGACCACGACTAGGACTCCTCCCAGAGCTCCAGAGACTGCTGCCAATGGAAGACTGGGTTCCGATTTGACATTCGGCGGTCTGAGGGAGCTAGTATGTGAAGAGGGTGTAGGTTGGTAAGGAGGGGTCGTCGATGTGGTAGGATGGGTTGATGTGGTAGGATGGGTCATAGCTGCAACAAAAATATGAATTATCAGACAACAAAAATTAACACATTGCTATTGAAACCAGGTGGATTCCGCCCTGAAGCCTAAGGAAATGAGAGAATTCAGAAATTAATTGGCGGAGATCTTCAAAAATTATTGAAGGGAAAGACCAGTTCTGGTCATGCAATTGCATTGTGAAAGAAACGTTGTGGAATCGATCAGAAAAGGTTGATCATCTAGCATATAAATCTGGTGTGTACTGCAAGGTTTTGGAATCATCAAAATTATAAGAAATTTGGCCCAGTCTTGGTAAAGTTGCAAGCACTGTTCACAAAAAGATGTATATGGGACTACGCGACACGTGCACGATATCTATCTGGTCCGGATTTTGATAGGGGGACGTTTCCAAAATTGGTCTATACCTTTAATGGGATAAGGGCATTACATGCCTCAGGAGTAATCCTTGGAAGTTCTCTGGACTCTCAGTGTACACTACATTTGCTAGTACATGTAGGCTGTTCAGTTCATTTTGCATCAAAACGGGGGTGTGATATCTGGATTTAAGGTAGTAAAAGAGCATTTTGAAGAGAAATGGAATTCAGAACTCACCTGTAACATTGATGTTTTTGTTGGAGTTAATCATCGGACATTGTTCACACAGTGCTTCATTAATCCATACCTGAGGAATGATTTTTTTTTTTTAATTACAAAAAGGGGTTCAGTTGTTTTTGATATTAATAAACTATGAAAATAAGCAAATGAATAAACAAAATATTTTCAATTTCAATTTATAAAGTCTAATCACAAGCCTGCAACCTTCAGTAATCAAGAACTTATGATCTTAAATATATTTCTTAAAGGGAAAAAAGAGAAAATAGAAAAATATTCAGTAAAGTCATTAACATCATGGACATATAATAAGAAATCTAAAATTTCACAAATTTATGAAAGTTTAGTTGAGTAAATCAATGCTTCTGAATTGATTAACAGATCCATAGTTTTCATGCGACTTGAAGGATGACTATTTAATCGATACATTTTCTGAAGCATGTTTGAAATTACCAACACTATTAGCTCACTTGATTATTATGTTTTATAATCTTACTTTCAAAACTTACATATGCTCTATAAGTTCCCTCTTGTACGTTGTCGAAAAGCACAGGAGGATGATCAGTTTCCTGAACAAATAATTACAGAAAGGTTATGAAAAAAACCTATCATGAAGGCAAAAGATTAAATCTAGCATAAATGAGAGATTTACCAAATTTCTTTTAAAGCACATGAGAAGATAACAGGAATGAAAGAGGAACACAACCAAACAAGTACATGCAAACATTTCATAACTTCTACTGATACCAAGGACTAAATAGATAGGTTTTAAAAACTTTCATGAATTAATCCATGGAGGAAGCCTGTCGTGAGTAAATATGGAGATTGAAGATTGTTCCTTACTTTAGGGTCAAGAAAAAGTCGTGAATTAAACTTTAGTTATATCCTAAAAATGAGCTAGCATTTACTCACCGTATTGAAGGTTATTAAATGCTGCCCATTGTTGTTACCTCCCACTTCCTCATTACCTCCCACTTTCTCAAGCCAGACTTCATAGACCGTATATTTATTGCTAGGCCAAAAATTCACCACCACGGAACCATTTTTAATTTGAGTAGCGTCTGGCCGCCATTTCGGGATCCAATCGACGGGTGATTCTACATAGCAAACAAGTTTATTTTTATCATGACATTAGTGTTCTATTAACCTATAAAAGAATCATAGGTAAGGTTTTCAGGGTTACACAGTATAAGTCCTTCAAAGGAATATGAGACATGAAAAGGGATGGGCTTTGCTAATTAAGAGCTCTTAGTAAGAGCTCTTAGCAACACCCATCAGCCTTATTCAGGGCTTTTATTCCTTTGAAATAATTACATTGTATAACCCTGTAAACTTTACCTGCAGTTTCTCTACCATAAAAAGTATTGCAGATATTTCACTCATAACAAATAACACAAAACAGGACAGTGTTACCGTTAAGTGATGTTTTTTGGATTATCTTTAGATTTAAAAAGTATCACACATAATCCATGTACTTTTAGCACGAGTAAAATCACAGGAAATTTGGGATTCATCTATGTTACAGTACATTGTGCTATTTACAAATATAAACAAGCTAATTGAAAAATAGAAAGAATGGCAACATTTGCGGAATTCATACCCATTGTTCTCATCTAAATTGGCATTTTGTAGTCTTTTTTTAACATTCACATGGGTTCAATCAACACACATTTTGATTTGCCCTACAGAGTGAAGAGTGAAATGAAAATTGTGGCCAATTTGAAGAGGCGAAGGTGATCCATTTGGATGTGTTGGGAAATCCTGAACCTCTCTGGATTTGCTCCTTCATGCATATGAAATAGATTGTCTAAAGATCATAACTGAGAGCTAACATTAAAAAACATAAAATTGGGCAAAGGTGTCACATGTATTAAAGTAATAAACTTACCAACGTTGCATACAGTTAAATTTGATTCCTGTCCACACTCTGCACAAAAAATATAATAAAACAGAAGGTAAATATCTACAACAGGAGAGTAGCTTCACTGCCCCTTGAGGAAACATTCGAGGCACTGTTTGCTCATGTAGATGAATATGAAAATAATGAAAATGATACCGAAAACAACAAAATCTGCCAGGCAGTGTAAAATTGATTCTTCTTCAAATGAGTTCTTTTGGATTCGATATATTATGTACATTTCCTCAGGATAACAATATATATTCCCTAACAAAATTGGAGTTTCTATAACTTTTTACAGTTCTTTGAGATTTTTCTTACAGTCAATTTTCATCACTACTTCCATTATATTTTTTCACTGCCACTTACTTGGAAGTTTTGTAAGAAATCTTCCTTCATTTGAATTATCATCATTGTTTGGTAGGCTGCGGATAATGGTGACGTAATCCATGTCAGGTTGTGCAAAATCTCCATTCTGGCAAGTCACTGAGAAATCGGACTGAATTATGAAAATAAACAACAACCAATTGCCTATTTAAGGTCACAAAAAGATATTTAATTTTGAATGCTTGCATATAGTCAAAATATCAGCTTTTTAATAATATTTCTGTAAAGATAGAAATGCAAGTTTACAATACTTTTGTAAAAAATGTAAAAACAACTTGCAGATAAACTACTCGAAGCATCTGTACAAACAAACGCACACAAGGAGCCCAAGTCCTAACTAAGTTATGTGCATTTGGCTTTATATTATTTTTAATTTCTTCATACTCGTGTTAATGTTAATCTATATAATACATTTATTTTTGTTGTTGTAAGGAGGGATTAGTTGATTTTAAACATACATGTACAAGCAGGATAAAATTAACATATTAGGTGACCGATAGTACCCTTGAAACCTAATTAAATTGTGGGTTGTTTGAACATGTTTCATTTGAAAGACTTCAACAGATTTCAAAGTCTAGCTTTCAATTTCCATTAGATAATAAAATCATATGGATTGTTCTTCAAATATGTTTTTTTAGATGTGCTAACTGCTACCTGGTAATATGATACATGCAAAGTCTAATGTGTATTAAATCACAATTCACAAATATCTTTTAAAGGCTTAAAACAATATGCAATAGAAAATAAATGAAACAATGTGACATACCTGAGCATCATTAACCGTCAATGTTCTGTTGAATGAAATTGTGACACAGAAGTATTGCGCTGCACAAATACTTCGGTGACACATGACCTTAACTTCATATCCAGTCAAAAGGCTGATGCGATCTGGATAAATAACAACCATGAGTTTCCTGATTAGTATACATCCATTTTATTCAAACAACGTTGGTACATGTATGTGAATTCCATTAGTACTACAATCATAATGATATACTCTATTTCATGGAAAAGTTCATGGGAAAAAACAGCTTTAGTTGCCATATTTTACATAACGAGGGGTACTTCCCTCTGTCGTGTCTTTTTTGATGGATTTTTTTGGTTTTACATAATTCAAATAACATTCAAATGGGCTGAAATTTTGTATTGCTGTATAAGTGCATACTACACTACATAATTAATGGGCTTTATTTAGTTGGGTCGAGGGGGCACAACATCCTAAAATTTGTTGACAAGGAAAACTAATTCCATCACCTCAAATTTGGACTTAGGTATTAAAACTAAGCCACTTAGGTTTCAAGGGGGGGGGGGGTAAGTGCTGGTTATCCCCCTTAAATCTGCAAGTGGACAGTATGGTGGCCCTGAAGGGACATCGCGAATAGACTAAATCGTGAAAAATATGCGATAAAATTCACGATATCGTCAATTTTATCGCATATTTTTCACGAAGAAATTCACGAAATTGACGATATCGTGAACTTTATCGTGAACTTTTCACGATGAAATTGACGATATCGTGAATTTTATCGTGAAAAGTTCACGATATAAAGTTCACGATATCGTCAATTTTATCGTGTACTCTATCGTGTACTCTATCGTGTACTCTCCTGACGGGCGCTTCGTAAACAAAACCAGCCCTAGCTGGGGGAGACAGAGAGAAGGAAAAAAGGGAAAGGGAAAGAGAAGATAAAAGGAAAGAAATAATAATAATAAGAAAAGAGGGAAACGGGGGGGGGGGCGAAGGGCTCTTGCCTCCTCCTCACTCCCCCCCCCCCCCTCCCCGCCAAAAAATAAATCAGAGAGAGAGAGAGAGAAGGGAAAGGGAAAGGGAAAGAGAAGATAAAAGGAAAGAAAGAAGAGGAAGAAGAAGAAAAGAGGGAAACGGGGGAAGGGCGAAGTACTCTTGCCCCCCCCCCCCCGCCAAAAAATAAATCAGAGAGAGAGAGAGAGAGAAGGGAAAGGGAAAGGGAAAGAGAAGATAAAAGGAAAGAAAGAAGAGGAAGAAGAAGAAAAGAGGGAAACGGGGGCAAAGGACTTTTGCCTCGTCCCCCCGCCCCCCGCCAAAAAATAAATAAGAGAGAGAGAGAGAAGGAAAGGGAAAGAGAAGAAAGAAAGAGAAAAACGAAAAAGAGGGAGAATAGGAAAGAAAGGAAAAGAAAGAAAAGAAAGGAGGCAAGAGCCCTTCGCCCCTGTTTCCCTCTTTTCTTATTCTTTTTCCTCTTCTTTCTTTCCTTTTATATTTTCTTTCCCTCTCCCTTCTCTTTCCCTTTATGGCGGGAGGGGGGAGGGGGAGGTAAGAGCCTTTCGCCCTTCCCCCGTTTCCCTCTTTCCGTCTTCTTCACCTTCTTTCCTTTTATATTTTCTTTCCCTTTCCCTTTCCCTTCTCTCTATCTCTCTCTCTCTCTCCTATTTATTTGTTGGCGCGGGAGGGGGGGGGGAGGAGGCAAGAGCCCCTCTTTTCTTCTTATTCTTCTTCCTTTCCTTTTTTATTCTCTTTCCCTTTCCCTTCTCTCTCTCTCTCTCTTATTTATTTTTTGGGCGGGGGGATGCAAGAGCCCTTCGCCCCCGTTTCCCTCTTTTCTTCTTCTTCTTCCTCTTCTTTCTTTCCTTTTATCTTCTCTTTCCCTTTCCCTTTCCCTTCTCTCTCTATCTCTCATTTATTTTTTTGGCGGGGGGTGGGGAGGGAGGAGGCAAGAGCCCTTCGCCCTTCCCCCGTTTCCCTCTTTCCTTCTTATTCCTCTTCTTTCTTTCCTTTTATATTTTCTTTCCCTTTTCCTTCTCTCTCTTATTTATTTTTGGCGGGGGGGGGGAGGAGGCAAGAGCCCTTCGCCCTTCCCCTGTTTCCCTCTTATTCCTCTTCTTTCTTTCCCTTTCCCTTCTCTCTCTCTCTCTCTTATTTATTTTTTTGGCGGGGGGGGGGGGGGGAGGTAAGAGCCTTTCGCCCTTCCCCCGTTTCCCTCTTTCCTTCTTCCTCTTCTTTCTTTCCTTTTATATTTTCTTTCCCTTTCCCTTTCCCTTCTCTCTCTCCTTATTTATTTTTTGGCGGGGGGGGGGGGGGAGTGAGGAGGAGGCAAGAGCCCTTCGCCCCCCCCCCCCCGTTTCCCTCTTTTCTTCTTATTATTCTTTCTTTCCTTTTATCTTCTCTTTCCCTTTCCCTTTTTTCCTTCTCTCTGTCTCCCCCAGCTAGGGCTGGTTTTGTTTACGAAGCGCCCGTCAGGAGAGTACACGATAGAGTACACGATAAAATTGACGATATCGTGAACTTTATATCGTGAACTTTTCACGATAAAATTCACGATATCGTCAATTTCATCGTGAAAAGTTCACGATATCGTCAATTTCGTGAATTTCTTCGTGAAAAATATGCGATAAAATTGACGATATCGTGAATTTTATCGCATATTTTTCACGATTTAGTCTATTCGCGATGTCCCTTCAGGGCCACCATAGGACAGTGATCTGTAGCATTTACCTGTCGAAGCCTTCCAGCGAGGGGCCAGATCAAGGTATATATTCCCATCTGTTGCTATGTAGGAGGAGGAGTAGGAGTCTAAGCCAACCTGGAGGGGAGGACCAGGTGCCTGATTGATAGGTACAGTGACATCGGTTTCACAACTTCCTAATCAAAGTAATAACATATATTTATATATTTCATCAATTAACAGAGCTGTAGCTACAGGGAGGCGAATGCCCAAATCAAATAATGGAGAACAAAATTAGAAAAGAGAGAAACGAAATTGATAAGAAGAATGTATCTGGATCTCCTCTACCCCCTGACCATTAGCCCCATATTTAATTTTCACCAATAAGGTCAGTGTCCCCCCCCCCCTAAAAAAAAAAAAAAAAAAAAAAAAAAAAGTTGTTCCAGCGCCCTCTCAATGGCGAGACTTACTCTATGCCCCCATCGATTCTCATTTTCTTATCCAAAGAAAACAAAACAAAAGAAAACAAGACCAAAAAAACAACAAAGATAAATGGTCATTTGATAATATTTAGGTTAAGTTTTTAAAATAGCTTTCCCCATATTTGTTTTCTTTAGATAATTGGTATCAAATCTGCATAGGTTTTTTTTATTTTGTGACAACTTGAACTCTAAGCTTGTAATTACATTTTATTCCTTGTACTTTATCTAATTTAAGTTGCTACCAGCATTAAAAAACAGCTTAACTGGATTTATTATCTCTCCTCAATATAATATTGATCCTAGGGATTTCCCCTTCGAAAGCAAAGTACAAATGCATCAAAACCCTCAGAAAATTATGCGCACTATTTTTCATTAAAAAGCAGCAATTGCTATTTTCACAAGCCTGAAATATCATTAAATGAGTGCAAAAACAAATAACTATTTTTTTCTGAAAGTAAAAGTGTCCAAGTTGTAAAATAATAAGATTCTGTTAAACACAAGGATATCCTATTCAAATTATAGACTATGAATAAAAAAGTTAGTGTGAAAGAAAAAAATTATTGTGATAAGAATAACAGATATAAAAGAGGGAGGGGGAGACAGAAAAGAGAGAGAGAGAGAGCTGGTAGATGAATTGGTGGCAGCGGCAAAGCATACACAATGCGTGCGAAGAAATAATTTAAGACACACAGCAAAAATTCTAACCTCTAAATACACAAAACAAAAGGATCCTTTCTGCCACCATTTTTCAAAAAGATCTATTGACAAACTCTGTCAAATGATTGGTATTACTTCTAAACATAAAGTTTTTTTAAAAAATCATTAAGCCAACAATCAAACAGGTAACTATATATCAAGCACTGTACAGATTAAGCACAATGGGAGCATTTTAATCAAGTACTAAGCTGATCCAAGATTGTGGCATGCCAGCAAGTATTTTGCTCTAGGCAATGGCAAATGTGGCAAAACATACAAAGATTAATCTAAAAGTTTCAAGTTCTCATCCAAGTTTTCATTTTCTTAAATTTATTGTGAATCCTTCCTAATTCTTCTCCAGTTCAGTTTTGTTGAAAATAGATAAGATATCATGTATATATACTTTTGAAGTTAATATTTAGATTGACTTACTTGTAGTACTTATTACACATGGTGGTAAAGGTATACCTGAAGCTCCAGTTGCATCCTGTAAGAGAGGAAATGTAATGATTAAATTACACATCAGGAAACTTATTCTTCATTCAGGTTTAATAATTTGGAACATGTTCTGTAGAAAACTAAAATCTTACTACTTTAATATAATCATCTGATATGAGTCAGAAGGGCATGAGCTCATATAATTTTCAGGTTTATAAAGCACCTCTAACCTCTCGGGAGAATTGGGGTCACTTTCAGATTGATTGGTTACAGAAAATGTCCTAAATATCTTCTTCAAGTGCCTTCCCAGGGCCTGAAGTTACCAGCTATTCGATTGAAACCACTTCAATCTGTAGCAACACCCCCTTTACACAAACATCAATTAAGCTAATACCAGGTATAGAGCATAAGAGCAACATCCATGAACCTCAAGCAACCCATCAATGGCTGACCTAATCTTTAAACATTAACAATCGCAAAGCCTTTATAAAAATCAACCTAAAGCAACTTAGCTTTATAAATCACCTAATATTGAAATCTGTCAAATTACAATCACATACATATTTTATGAATATCTTTGACAATTAAAACAAAATTATGCACTGGACTTCTGTTAGTGTTTGGCCCTGTTTCGAGACCAAGTACCCTAAATATCAATTCACAACTTTTTTTTTCAAATACATGTAACCTGAATCATGGATAGATCCGGGGGGGGGGGTCATGGGGTCGCGACCCATTTTTGTGCTAGATAGTTTTTGTGTGTAAATAAACACTCAATAATTCTTATGAGCACTTTTTTCTTTGCTTGCTGGTCAGTCTTCTCGGTTATCGTACCCCCTCCTCCCCTCCTCCCCCCCCCCCCCACCCTAAAAGTTTCAGATCAGCCCCTGCTGATTGTAAGAAGAAATCTGATATTTCTTTAGATCTCTTGATGATTATCCAGGAGCTCCTTGTTGTCATTTTGCCGGCTACCCGTAAAAAGTCTACACAAATTGTTTCCCAATACAATAAAAAGATATCACATACGATTAAGTCTTAATAATGTACAAGGTTATCACAATTTTAACAGTTTGCCAAGTCTAGAGAGAAAACCGAAAGTTTAATAAACCTTGATATGAGTGTTGTACGACTTGATCCCTAGCTTCCTTCCTCATAGTCGTCATCATGATTCGGTTAGAAAGGTTTTATTTGAAACAAAATCTTTTCAAAGGGCACTTCCTCATATGGATAAATGTACTGCCGTTTACGATACATTGCATATACAGCCTTCCGACAGGCAGCCGTTGATTTGCTTAAAGTTGAGCTAATCAAGACTATAATGCTGTTTGTACATTAATGGTACAAAAATTGTTTTCCCATTACAATAAAAAGACTTCACATATGATTCAGTTTCATGTACAGCGATATCATACATTTAACAGTTTGCCAAGTCTAGAGAGAAAAGCCAATGTTGAATAATTCTTGAAATGAGTGTTGAACGACTATTCCTAGCTTCCTTCCTCATATTCGTCATCATGGTTGGAAAGGTCTTATTTGAAACAAAATCTTTTCAAAGAGCTCTTCCTCATGTGGATAAACTTTACTTTTTGTTTAAAGAACCTATGATATTTCCTGGCTATTGCTGCAAATAGTAAACTTTATAAATGTGTCTGCTTCACTGATAGATGCTCCTTCTTTGAACCAACTTTCTCACTGTTAGTAATCATTGCACCACTACTCATGCCAATGTAAAACAAAATACTTTATTCTTACGGTTAAGACCTTTTTAAGATTTACATGCCAATTGAAATGTAGTAGACTGCTAGAAGTAAGTCTTACATTTCATTGTTTATCCAAAAAAAAGACCTCTTTGTAAGTTCAGAGCTTAAGTGCTCATTGCTCCCATATTATATAGGCCTACATGTATATATTCATCATTGGCATTCATGTGATCTATATCATGAGACATTTCAGATCAATCTTTCAGGTTCGCTTACTGGTATAGTTTTTGTGTAATATAACTTCACTGAACATTGACCGTTGATATTATTATCTTGAAACCTGACGATATGATTTCCTTCGTGATGCACATTGTTTCATGTTTTGAACTTCACGCCCCACTTGATTCTATCCCTGAAGTTCGAATATCATCCAGCACTTTGCCTTGCTTCTATAGGCAAACAAAGGGTTCCCCCTTTCAAGATAATGTTTACAAGTGAGCCTGGGTAAAGATTAATGCAACTGTGACAGTCCCTATCTTTTCAATACCAAGAGAAAATGGTGATGGGATCTGGCCCCTAATTTTCTTTTGCTTGTCATAGTTTTTGTTTGTTTTGTATTGGACCCCCATCGATCATCAGAAGAGGGTGTCAATTGAAGTCAACATCCTTCCCTCCCCCCCCCTAAAAAAAAAAAAAAAAAAAAATCCTAGCACTGCTATAGTGAATACTGAGGAGAAAGTTATTAATCACATAGTCAATAAGATGTGACATACACCCTCGCACTTCAGTGAATTCCCTAAGAACCAGACTAGAGAGTACAAACCGAAAGATCTCTGTAACATGAATGTTGAAGATCTCTCTGTAAATTGACACAGCAACATTTTGACCTTTAACATGCTGACCCACAATCTTCTGAGTTCATCTGCCTGGGGGATACATACTGGTATGAGCTTAACAATATTAAAATGGTTTGTGAACTATGTGACAACATAATGGGATAGACTGACCAGTCATAAACATACTGCCTCTGGCACCATCTTTGGTGGCAGATCAAGGCATAAATCTTACTTCAGTTGTCTGCAAACAAGAAAGTTTGAGTTCACAGTTTCATTTTTACCCATTTCTTTACTGAGAGAAGCTCCACAAAACAAAAACAGAAAGAAGTAGCTGGATCAAGGAGAATATGTGCTTCATGGTATTCAAATTAATCTGAATGAGTATAAACTAAAGGATCATCATTTCATCCAAAGAGCATTTTGGGTTCTGACAATTTTTGTTACTGTAATTTTATATAACAAAATGACAACAGCAACAAAATAAATAGGCCTCATAATGATGATAACTTTAAGGGGATAGCCTACGGCAAGTGCAATAAAATATGGATATTATGTAGAAGGGGCTTAACATTGTCTTTATTATCACTGGAAAGAAACATATATTATCAAACTAGGAATAATTGAGGATTCAGAAAAAGGAACATTTAGAGTGAATTGGGTATAAAAGAAGTGGTAGATCTCAATCTATCAATTGTTATTTCAACATTCAAAAATGTTTATCTTATTCTTTGCCCATTTGATGAATCTTTAAGTAATATAATTCTGTGATTTTTTTTACATCAACCCTAACGAATGCTGTAAGAGAGCGTGATTAGGGCCTACCTTATTTAGACTATTTCTAAAATCAAGTTGTGGCACAGGGGTATGACCTTCGTAAACATTATCTTTCTCTTTCACTTTCACTTTCATCAACAGTGTATTTGAAACTGTTCCATAAAAATTACACCTTACCCTTCAAAACGATTCTGGAATGAGGAGAGAAATCTAGATCTAGTTCAATCATATCTCATTTCATTGATAGAACAACTTAATTAGGGTTAATACTAATAAAACGTGACTATTTCAATATTCAAATTAATCTTGACCTAAAACATCATCAAAAAAGCTTTTGAAGTCAACCCATGCCGGTCACTTATATTACATTAAAAATAAAATAAAACTAATATACACACACTTTCTTATGTTCTCTTCACTTTTCTGTATAATGTAAAATGTAGGCCAGTATTCGATCAAGAGTTGGCCATTGCATAATAGTATTAATACAATTGCTCTAAAGGCCCGGTCACACAGCCTTTCGCGTCTGTATCGCGGGTAAAATTTCGCGATTTTTTTTTGCCCGCGGTTGCCCGTGGTGGAAAATGTGCAAAATTGGCTTACCCGCGGTTTACCCGTGGTATGCCCGCGGAACAGACGCCGGCGACTGTTCCGCGTCCTTATCGCGGGTGAAGCGCGGCGGTACCGCGGCCTACCACGGGTATAATAAAGCAGCCGAACCGGGCTGTAGAAATCATAACCGCTCCGTGCTTACACGCGGTACACACGCTAATGCACGTGATAACAACGCCGCGGTACAGACGCGAAACAAACGTGCTATGACCGTGCTCCACCCGCGATTACCCGCTAAAATTTCGCGTCCTACCGCGTGTAACCACGTCTTAACCGCGGCCGTAGCACGTCCTAGCACGTTCGTTCCGCGTCTGTACCGCGTCTTTACCGCGTGTGTACCACGTGTACCACGTGTACCGCCCGCGATTACCCGCGGTCTAAATTTTTGGGCAGCCCAAAACTTTTTCGCGCGGCCAACCGCGTGTGAATTTCTTACCGCGTGTAACGACGGGTAAAGTACGGCTGTATCGCGTCTTTAATTTATCGCGACCTCAAAGCGTCCAACAGCGTCTGCTTCACGGGCAGAAATTTTTGGCCGTGATTCGGCCGCGATACGCCCGTGGAGGGCTGTGTGACCGGGCCTTAATATAACCAGCCACTTGGCACTTCGGTTGGACAAGAGAGTTGTATAATATTATCCACTCAGATTATTTCACAATATAGTACATTATAATATCCCTATACCATAAAAACTATCAAATGTGGTCTATCAACTTATCAGCAGATTTTCGGACGATATATGTCACGACTTGGAAGCTAACATATCAAAGTATAGTTTTTCGCACCATAACATTCTATGCTTGCATTGTTTAGTTTATGCATTCGGATAAAGAGAAGTAGTCTACTATAGAACTCTAAACAAAATATGTAGAGAATGTAAGCTTACCGCTTGTTGACAGGGGCTAGTGCATGTCAGTACTCCAGAGCTTGGTTCAGATTTAAGCAAAATAACATTTAATATAATTCCTATCAGAGTAGGGAGAGATAGTGGAATTCCAAACATCTTTGCCTGCCAATACGGTTTTCGCCCAAGAGTATTACACTTACAGTAGCACCTCCACTGCGCTGGTATCTCGTATTTGTCCCCTAAAAGTTCAACACGGTACTATTTCCCACTACCTGTGTGCGTAAAAAATGTTACAGCCGTATAGCAGGAGCACGCACATGAGTTGTGGTCGATGGGCGGAAAAATAAAAACGCAATCATATGACCTTTTCCAAGTATGAAATATATACCCGGACTTGTAGACTTGTAGTAGGCTATATATAGAAGAAGCGTATATCATACCTCATACCTTGGAAGTAGGCATAAAGTTATACAAAACCTATTTGGCTCTCGGTGTCCGCTATAGTGTGTTACTCTTGAATTTGGCGTTGCGCAGTTACGGAATACGGATGAACATGGACAGTTGAATAGTTCATCAGGATTAAACTTGTACTTCTTCAGTGACCAGTACTTATCAAGATTTGATTTTAAAGAATTGAGTGATGGACTTTCTGCTACATATGATGGGAGACCATTCCATTCGTTTACTACTCTCTGTGAAAAAGCGCTCTGCCTCAATTTAGATTTTACGTTTCTTTTCTAGTTTGAACTGGTGACCTCTTGTTACTGCGACAGTGGTACGATGAAAGAAATTAGTTGCCTGGAGGTCGATTCCATGCATTACCTAATACCCCATTCACAGTGGTTTTGAAATTTGTAGCGGCGTTGTAGCGGAGCGGCGACACCGCCATAACACCGCTACAAATGCATTCACAGTAGAAAAGTTATCCCGCTGCAGCAGCGGGATAAATATCATGTACCCATTCACGCTGCAGCGGGTGATTTTTATTACCTCCGTAACAAACACGTGTATGCATGGCTCATGACCCGCGAGTGACCCCGATATGACCGGAAATACTTGCTTGAAATTGCGCGGTAAACATGTCAAGTTGCTTTTTGTATCCTCGATCATATTACTTTTTAAAAAACTAGCATTTTTATTGCTTCCAGTCAGAATATTTTAATTTTTTGAAGTGTGAAATATTTTTATTTGGATAATTATAATACCTACATAATAATAAAATCAATTTGAATCCACTGGTTACTTTATTTCTATTTCACTTTACGTTCCCCATTGCTGTAGAAAAGAGGTCAGTGATAGGTAAGTAAACAAATCACACGTGTTTGTCGCGGTGTTATAGCGGAGAGCCTTCACACTGAGTAAACACCGCGACAGCAGCGGGACTGTCCCGCTGCTGTAGCTAGGCGTCCCTAGCGATAGTTTGTGTCGGCGTTATCGCTAGGCGGTGTTATCCCGCGATAGTTTATAACGGGTCCGAGCCTTCACACTGAAGACAACACCGCGACAGCAGCGGGACAGTCCCGCTGCTGTCGCGGTGTTTGAGGCCACTGTGAATGGGGTATTATAGACCTGTAGCATGTCGCTTCTATGACGTCTATATGATAATCAGGCACGTAGTCAGAAATTGATGTTTGGGGGGCACCTACATGTAATCGATCGAGGTCAAAAAGGGGTCTAAAAAAGTTCAACCGATCTCGGATTTTTTTTTTTGGGGGGGGGGCACGTGCCCCCCCCCCCCCATGCCCCCCCCCCCCCCGGGGCTACGTGCCTGATGATAATGGAGGCAAATTTAGTTGCTCTAGCCGTGACTTGTACTGAATACTTCTGAGAGGTCGAAAGGGTTTAGTTGCACGACGTTGAACTTATTCCACTTAGAGAAAATGTTTCTTCTTATGAGGGTGGGAGCAGTATTCTAGTGCTGGTCTCATAATCTGTGTGAGTCCCTTTTGTCCATAGTTGAAAAAGTACGCTTGATGATTCCTGCCGGGATTCCTGATTTCAGAGAGACAGTAAGAATCTACATCTTATCTCTGGGCCGTCATCATCAACATCTTCTAAAGCGTCTCTCTGTTCATCTACAACATCATAAAGGAGGAGAAAAGGAAGGGAGAGGAGGTGATGAGGCTGTGATGAGAAGGAGGAGGGGTGGAAGAAGAGGAGGAGAAGGGGGAAGAGGAGGAAGAAGAGGAGAGGAGGAAGAGGAGGAGGAAGAAGAGGAGGAGGAGGAAAGGGAGGAAGAAAAAGAGGAAAAAGAAGAGAAGGAGAAAGAGGAGGAAGAGGCGGAGGATGCGGAGGAGAAAGAGGAAGAAGAAGAAGAGGAGGAGGAGGAAGGGGAGGAGGAGGAGGAGGAAAGGGAGGAGAAGGAAGAGGAGTAGGAGATGAGGAGGAGGAAGCGGAGGAAGAGGAGGAAGAGGAGGAGGAAGAGGAAGAGGAAGAGAAGGGAGAGGAGAAGGAAGAGAATGAGGAGGAGGAAGAGGAGGAGGAGGAAAAGGAGAAAGAGGAGGAGAGGAGGAGGAGGAGGAGGAAAGGAGGAAGAAAAAGAGGAGGAGAAGAGGAGGAGGAAGACGTGGAGGAGGAAGAGGAAGAAGAGGAAGAGGAGGAAGAGGAGGAAGAGAGGAGGAGGAGGAGAGGAGGAGGAAGAGAGGAGGAGGCGGACGAAGAGGAGGAAGAGGATCGACGAGGAGGAGTTTATATGGAAAAGATGGGCGTCGACGAGCATTGAGCAGTCGCTGGATACACGTATGTAAGTAATATTATTCCTCCTCCTCCTCCTCCTCTTCCTCCTCCTCTTCCTCCTCCTCTTCCTCTCCCTTTTCATCCCCTTTCTCCTCCTCTTCGTCCACCTCCTTCTCTCCTCCTCCTCCTCCTCTCCTCCTCCTCCTCTCCTCTTCCTCTCCTCCTCCTCTCCTCCTCCTCTCCTCCTCCTCTCCTCCTCCTCTCCTCCTCCTCTCCTCCTTCTCTCCTCCTCCTCCTCCTCTTCCTTTTCCTCCTCTTCCTATTCCTCCTCTTTCTCTTCCTCCTCCACGTCTTTCTCTTCCTCTTCTTCCTCCTCCTCCTCTCCTCCTCCTCTTCTTTTTCTTTCTCCTTTCCTCCTCCTCCTCTTCCCCCTCCTCCTCCTCTTTCTTATCCTCCTTTTCCTCCTCTTCCTCCTCCTCTCCTCCTCCTCCTTTCCTACTCCTCTTCCTCTTCTTCCTCTTCCTCTTCCTCCTCCTCCCCTTCCTCCTCCTCCTCTTCCTCCTCCTCCCCTTCCTCCTCTTCTACCCCTTCCTCCTCTTCATCTTCCTCCTTTTCCTCCTCCTCTTCCTCCTCCTCCCTTTCCTCCTCCTCCTCTTCCTCCTCTTCTTCCTCCTCCTCTTCATTCTCCATCTCCACCTTCATGGTGTCGTAGATGAACAGAGTAATGCTTGAGCAGATGTTGATGATGACGGCCCAGAAATAACATGTTGAATCTGACCGTCTCTCAGGGCAACCTGAATCTAATAATTGAATTCATGACTATCTGTAATATGAAATATGAAAAAAATACCTTTTAAATCTTCATTGGCTCGATGATTCTAATACTTACAAACGTGTATCCAGGGACTGCTCCATGCTCGTCGACGCCCATCTTTTACATATAAACTGCTCCTCGTCGATCCTCTTCCTCCTTTTCCTCCTCCTCTTCTCCCTCTTCCTCTTCCTCTTCCTCTTCCTCCTCCTCGTCTTCCTCCTCGTCTTCCTCCTCCTCCTCCTCCCCTTCCTCCTCCTCCTCTTCCTCCTCCTCCTCTTCCTCCTCCTCTTCCTCTTCCTACTACTCCTCTCCTCCTCCCCCTCCTCCTCCTCCCCCTCCTCCTCCTCCCCTTCCTCCTCCTCCTCCTCTTCCTCCTTCTCCCCTTTTCTCCTCGTCCTCTCATCCTACTCTTCTTTTTCTTCCTCCTTTCCTCCTCCTCCACCTCTTCCTTTTCCTCTTCCTCCTCTTCCTCCTCCTCCTACCCTCCCTCCACCTCCCCTTCCTCCTCCTCCCCTACCTCCTCCTCCTCCTCTTCCTCCTCTTCCTTCTCTTTCTCCACCTTCATGGTGTCGAAGATGAACAGAGAAACGCTTGAGCAGATGTTGATGATGACGGCCCAGAGATAACATGTAGATTCTGACCGTCTCTCAGGGCAACCTGAATCTAAAAATGAATTCATTGACTATCTGAAATATGATAAAAATAACTTTTAAATCTTCATTGTCTCGATGATTCTATTACTTACGTACGTGTATCCAGCAACTGCTCCATGCTCGTCGACGCCCATCTTTTTCATATAAATTCCTCCTTGTCGATCCTCTTCCTCCTTTTGCTCCTCCTCATCTCCCTCTTCCTCTTCCTCTTCCTCCTCCTCCTCCTCCTCTTTCCTTCCTTCTCCCACTGCTCTTTCTCCTCCTCCCCTTCCTCCTCCTCGTCCTCCTCTTCCTACGCTTCATTTTCTCCTCCTCTTCTACCTCCTCTTCGTCATCCTCCTCCTCTTCCTCCTCCTCTTCCTTCTCCTCCTCTTCTTCCTCCCCCTCCTCTTCATTCTTCATCTCCACCTTCATGGTGTCGTAGATGAACAGAGAAACGCTTGAGCAGATGTTGATGATGACGGCCCAGAAATAACATGTTGAATCAGACCGTCTCTCAGGGCAACCTGAATCTAATAATTGAATTCATGACTATCTGAAATATGAAATTTGAAAAAATATCTTTTATTTCTTCATTGGCTCGATGATTCTAATACTTACAAACATGTATCCAGGGACTGCTCAATGCTCGTCGACGCCCATCTTTTGCATATAAATTCCTCCTCGTCGAATCTCTTCCTCTTCCTCTTCCTCCTCCTCGTCTTCCTCTTCCTCCTCCTTCTCCCCTTCCTCCTCCTCCTCTTCCTCCTCCTCCTCTTCCTCCTCCTCCTCCTCTTCCTCTTCGTCCTCCTCCTCTTCTTTTTCTTCTTCCCTTTCCTCCTCCTCCTCTTCCTTTTCCTCATTCTCCTCTTCTTCCACCTCCTCTTACTCCTACTCCTCTCCTCCTACCCCTCCTCCTCCTCCCCTTCCTCCTCCTCCTCCTCCTCCTCGTCTTCCTCCTCCTCCTCTTCCTCCTTCTCCCCTCCTCTTCCTCCTCCTCTCATCCTACTCTTCTTTTTCTTCCCCCTTTCCTCCTCCTCCTCTTCCTTTTCCTCTTCCTCCTCTTCCTCCTCCTCCTCCCCTTCCTCCTCCTCACCTTCCTCCTCCTCCCCTACCTCCTTCTCCTCCTCTTCCTCCTCTTCCTTCTCTTTCTCCACCTTCATGGTGTCATAGATGAACAGAGAAACGCTTGAGCAGATGTTGATGATGACGGCCCAGAGATAACATGTAGATTCTGACCGTCTCTCAGGGCAACCTGAATCTAAAAATTGAATTCATTGACTATCTGAAATATGAAATATGAAAAAATACCTTTTAAATCTTCATTGGCTCGATGATTCTAATACTTACAAACGTGTATCCAGGGACTGCTCAATGCTCGTCGAAGCCCATCTTTTTCATATAAATTCCTCCTCGTCGAATCTCTTCCTGCTTTTCCTCCTCTTCTCCCTCTTCCTCTTCCTCCACCTCCTCCTCCTCCTCTTCCTCCTCCTCCTCCTCTTCCTGCTCTTCCCCGTCCTCCACCTCCCCCTTCCTCCCCTTCCTCCTCCTCGTCCTTCTCTTCCTACTCTTCCTCTCCCTCCTCCTCTTCCACCTCCTCTTCGTCATCCTCCTCCTCCTCTACCTCCTCCTCTTCTTCCTCCTCCTCCCCTTCCTCCACCTCCTCCTCCTCCTCT